TGCTTCCCAAGGCTCCTCCCCTACCTGAGGCCACCACTGCACTGAGGCCTGCGGGTCTGCTCAGGGCTCCAGCCTCCCGGGGCAGGGCCAGGATCTGCCTGGAGCTCAGATGACACAGAACAGGGCTGTGCCTCCAAGGGAGGGAGGACCACCTGCAGTCCTGCTGAGGGAGACAGTCTCCGTCCCCAGACGGCACCGACTTCCTTCCTCTGCAGCACCGGGAGCCACCCCCACACTGCACCTCTGGCCTTCACCTCCCAAGCTCCGATCACATCCGACTCTGCTAGATGATGCCCTCCTTGTCTAGCCTCGCAGGCACCCCACGTCTCGGGCATGTTCACACTGAGCTCCAACGCCCCCCCCCCCCTCCGGAAGAAACACAGCCACACGCCTGCTGAACAGAACCGGGGTGTGACCCTTCTCTCTTCCACACGAGACCCAATTCACCCCCCGACCTGAGAGCTGTCGCCCAACAAGCACGTGCGATGGACCAGCCCTGCCAGCCCTGCGGCAGCGGCCAGCCGGGAACCGTGCATCATGCTGCACGGCCTCCGCTGCGGCCTCTCCCACCTGCACTGCACCCTCCACTGGAACCTGCCGCAGCTTACCTGCCAGTCCCCCAGCTCGAGCCTCAGACCCTCCACCCCACGCTCCAGGAAGCCATGAGAGTTAACTTTCAGAACTGTGCTCCCATCACATCACCGCTCTGTGTGAACCCGTCTGGCTATTTGTTTCACAGCCCTGTCAGGACCTCAGGGGCTGGCAAGTAGCTAAGATCGCACACCCTCACTGACCACTGCCCTCTGGGCCTTCCTGCTGGGACAGTGAGACTGCAGGCCAGACGCGCATGGCCCGTGACAGTGCTCTCTGGTCAGCACATCACAGGCGTCTCACTCAGGGGGCCCGGCTGGGTCACACCGCAGGGCGACTGCACTCAGGGGGCCCGGCTGGGTCACACCGCAGGGCGACCGCACTTATGGGGCCCGGCTGGGTCACACCGCAGGGCGACCGCACTCAGGGGGCCCGGCTGGGTCACACCGCAGGGCGACCGCACTTATGGGGCCCGGCTGGGTCACACCGCAGGGCGACCGCACTCAGGGGGCCCGGCTGGGTCACACCGCAGGGCGACCGCACTCAGGGGGCCCGGCTGGGTCACACCGCAGGGCGACCGCACTCAGGGGGCCCGGCTGGGTCACACCGCAGGGCGACCGCACTCAGGGGGCCCGGCTGGGTCACACCGCAGGGCGACCGCACTCAGGGGGCCCGGCTGGGTCACACCGCAGGGCGACCGCACTCAGGGGGCCCGGCTGGGTCACACCGCAGGGCGACCGCACTCAGGGGGCCCGGCTGGGTCACACCGCAGGGCGACCGCACTCAGGGGGCCCGGCTGGGTCACACCGCAGGCGGCTGCACTCACGGAGCCTGGCTGCAGGCCCCACACAGGTCCCTGTGCTGAGCCTTCCCACTGCCCCTGCCTGGCTGGCACCTGCTTCCCTCCTCCAGGTCTCAGTTCACAAGGCGTCTCCTCCAGAGCCTCCCTGACCCTCACCCTCAAGGACGACACCTGACGCCATGCGCCCAGCACGGCTCTCTGCCCTGTCCCCTGAGGGACCAGGGTATGTGCTGATGGAGAGGCTGCCTGCATTACAGATATTCTTGGCGGGAGGAGAAAGTTTCATGAGCCAAATGCATACTTAGTCTCATTAAATGTATTTTATAAGCTGATGAGTTAACCATCTTAGGATTGAATCTGCAATCTCTTTTAAAACAACTCTTTTACTATTATTTTTCTTCCAGCTCTAAATCTATATATGCCATTTACTGTGGAAAACATCTGAAAAACCAGGAAAAAAACCCGTGACTATCTCTGACTTGTGCGAGAGGATGCCCCTCCCCTCCCCCAGGACAGGAAGGAGCCCTGCTGCAGGGGAGGAAGTGCTCCCTCCTGAGGGAGACCTGTGGCTGACAAGGAGGGGGCAGAGGAGAGCATATGTCATTCAGTCACATGTCCAGGGTGGATGTGCAGGTCAGTCACACTCCCCAGTTGAGCTGTGGTTGGTAAAAAGTTCATCTTTTGTTTTATATCCATCCAACTTCCTGTGTTGTTGCTATTCCCCATTAAGCCCCAATTCTACAATGCTGTAGCCTAATCAGTAATACTGTCAATACTGTTATTTTCTACAAATCTCTTTTAAATGTATTAATATAGAAAACAAGGGGGGAAGACTAGATTTTTTTTTTTTATCCTCACTCGAGGACACTTTCGCATTTATCTTCAGATAGAGCAGGAGGAAGAGAGAGAAACATCAACGTGAGAGAGAGACATCGAGTGGCTGCCACTCACACGATCCCAACCGGGGCCGGGGACAAACTGCAACCGAGGTACGTGCCCTCAGTGGGAACTGAACCAGGACTCTGGTCCATGTGTGGGCTGATGCTGAGCCAAAGCAGCCAGGGCAAAACGAGGTGTTTAAAGATTAAAAAGTAACAGCTACAGCCATTCCCACACAGCAGACAGCCAGTCCTCTCTACTGGGACGATTCCGCTTCAGCCGCCGGCTGCGCCCAGAGGACTCCCTCTGACGCTGGGAAAGTAGGAAAGGAGTCAGACTGCCGCAGCCGAAGCTCACCCTGCGCTCCTGAGCCACGTGCAGCCACTGCAGAGCAGCACCTGTGCTCCGACTCCAATCACCAGCTACTCTGCAGCAGCAAGGGCCGCAGCGGCATCCACGTCTCACGACAGAACGACTTTCTCTTGACCACATGGGGAGGCCCTTCCTCCCACGCCTCCGGCACGGATGGAACGAAAGGCAGCGGGCAGAGCTCAGGGAGCTCCAGGCACACAGAAGAGGAGCCAGTGGCAGAGGTTGGGTGGAGAGGTGACCATGTACAGGAACTGCAAACATGTGGAAGGACAGGTGTGTGGCCAGCAGCCAGGCAGGTGGGCAAAGGGCAGGTGGGAGCAGCTTGATCTGCCTGGGTTTGGCGACCACGGGCAATCCCAAGGTGCTGCCTGGCAGGCCCCTGGGGGAAGCTGCCCTCCCAGTGCAGACTGGGCACAGCTGGCACCTGTGGTCCTGGGGGAGCTGCCTCGGTTCCTGGCCCAGCGCCTCACTCACAGAGGGCCTCTGGGGCCTCAGCGGAGGTGATGTGTCCCACTGACTCGCACTGGTCCCTCCTTCCCCCGCCCCATCCATACAAGGTGAAGGAAGCCGCTGGTGGGCAGGCCTCTCCCTGACCCTTGCAGGGCCCTTTCCTTGGCGTGTCGCCTGCTGGTGCAGGGAAGTGAGTGAAGCTCGCCGACGGCCTTCGGGGCGGCCTTGGCCTAACTGCCCGCTGACACTGGGCCGCCAGCCCAACAGGGCCAGAGGCCGGCGAGAGGCAAGGCCAGGAGTGGCCAAACGGGCCTTGCTGGATGGGGATGCCATCCTCCCTGCACAGGACACGGAGCTCAGGAAGAGATCCGGAGCCGCTCACCTACCTCCAACTGGCATGTGCAAAGAGCTGAGTTTCCTACTGAAAAACTGTTTTTTAGCCTGGACACAAGAGACGCTGGCAAATGAGAGCCCCCAAATCACTTCAGTGAGAATTTCGAATGTCAAGACGAGTATTTGAAATAAAAGTTTACACGTATAGATATCAGAAAATAGGAGGTTAACGCCCTGGCCGATCTGGCTCAGCGGTTAGAGCGTCGGCCTGCAGACCAGAGAGACCCGGGTTCGGTTCCCGCTAAGGGCACGTACCTCGGTTGCAGTTTGTCCCCGGCCCTGGCTGGTCGTGCGGGTGGCAGCCACTCGATGTGTCCCTTTCACGTCGATGTTTTTTTTTTCCTCTCTCTCTCCCTCCCGCTCTATCTGAACAAAAAATGGAAAAATGTCCTCAGGTGAGGATAAAAAAAGAAAATAGGTTGTTTTTCTTGTATATCTGAGTGTGGAGGAGTAATGTTTCACCCTCATACTTTTTTTCCTTTAAAATGGGCATTTAATTCAGCTATCAAGCAAAGATCAAACCAGCCTATAGCTGAGACTTCCCCGTTCAGAGCCGTGGGCCCACTGAATCCTAAGGGTCTGAAGTGTGGCCGTGAGCACGACCCCATCAGGGGAGGAAGCAGGGGTTCCGGACTAAGCGGGGTGACAGGCTGGGGCCCACCTTCCTACCCACTGTAGGCGACCTGTGACTTGGTGCTTTAGAACCAGATCTCTTCGCCTAGATGACAGCTTCCACCCACACCCCAAGAGACCCTTCCAGCTGACTCCAACCGCATGCCAGCTTTAGTCCAGGCCCTTCCAACGCACGCACACCCCCCCCACCCGACACAGCCACCTAGCACGTGCTTCGTGCTCCTCTCCAAGCCCCCTTCCCGCGTTGCCCACGCGACAGAGCGCACACTCCTCAACCTGCCAGTCCCCCTCCTCAGTCCGCTCTCCCTGCTGCGTGGGTCTCAGGGTCCAGACATGGCCTGCACAAGGCTTCCTCGGTCCTTGCCTGTGCCCCCCCATCCTGTGTTGTCCACTGATGTAAGACTCCAAGGCTGCTGAAGCTCCCCTCCCACGATGCCCTCCGCAGGGCAGGGCTGGCCAGCGCCCGGCACAGCCTCACAGCCAGGTTAGCAGTGGTCTCCTAGCCCTGCACGCCTCTGGGGATCGGAGCCAGAAACCACTCAGGCGACAGGTGCCCAGCGATCCTGCGTGTGCCGATGCTGCCTGACGCCATGGTGATGAGTGGCAGACCTTCCTGCCATGCACTGAGCGCAGCACTCTCCTGGGTCAGGTGACCACGTGTTCTCCTGTCCTGACACTGTCTCCGTATGAGCACCACCTGCTCGGCCTCGAGGTGCCCCTGCTCTGGCCGCTCTCCCCGTAGAGACTACCCCTCAGTTAACTGGCTCGAGCACAGGGCTCCGTTCAGACCACAGTGCTGTGCCCTGAGAGACACGGGTGAAGAAGCACCCCCACACCACTCCACTCCACCCCTCCACCCTCAGCCAGCAGCCTGTCCTACCTTTGCCGCAACAATGCTGAGGCCCATTCCATTCTGCTTTTTCAGGGTGACAGTGATGATTTCGGGCTCCTTCCTCAGAGGCTGAGCCTAAGGACGAAAACAAAGGCTTACTGGGCAGCTGGAGGGAAGAGCACACACGTGGGGAGCCTGACACGCAGACGGCAGTCCCTCAGGGCAGGGACCCTCCACCTGTCCCTCAGGGAAAGGGACACGACACTGTGCCCAGAGTCTTAAAGATGCATCTAGTCTGAATCTACGTAAACGTTCTTGCAAGGACAGAGTGTGTACGACAAAGCTAAACTTCCACCGCTCCCGGCTTACAGAGATCTGGTCGTGACGCCCTAACTAAGTTTTCACTGTGTCACCTTTCAGAAGAAACTGTTAGGTGTTTTTTAAGAAGGAATCTAAACTCACTGTACACTATCTATGGGGAGGAGAGGAAAACAGTTCTAAGAAAGATGACCTAACACCTTTGTCTTCTGGGAAAATGCAACAGCCGTTTCATCCTAAGTAGCAACTGAAGCAGCCACAGGGTCAGGCACAGGCTCGGTCCCCGACTACAATGTAAAACCCCATCCCCAGAGGACAGGCCAGCTACAACGAATCCACAGACAAACGAGAACATGAAATGACACACGTCACAGCTCCCTCAAAAGAGTACACAAGAAAATCACTGGTGACCACACTCCAGGGAGATGTTAGATTAACTCAGGTGCCCAAGTGTAAAGGTACATTGCAGGAAGCGATCACTGTACACGTGGCTTGTTAATTTAGAACCAAAGTCTGAGAGAATATTTTAAAGGAAATAAGATTAGGTGACATGAAAACTTTAAAAAAAAAATCAAGACCTGAAGTCTCCTGAGGGACCTGTGAATAAACTAGAAAGATCAAGAATCAGTACGCCATCTGAAAGAGCCTTGTTTTTCTATACGATCACTCAGGCCTCAGGGACAGCAGGGGGGCGGAGCGGTCAGTACTCAAGTCTGAGGGCTGCAGGGAGGGGGGAGCGGTCAGTACTCAGGCCTGAGGGCTGCAGGGAGGGGGGAGCGGTCAGTACTCAGGCCTGAAGGCAGCAGGGAGGGGGCAGGGGGCAGTACTCAGGCCTCAGGGACAGCAGGGGGGCGGAGCGGTCAGTACTCAAGTCTGAGGGCTGCAGGGAGGGGGGAGCGGTCAGTACTCAGGCCTGAGGGCTGCAGGGAGGGGGGAGCGGTCAGTACTCAGGCCTGAAGGCAGCAGGGAGGGGGCAGGGGGCAGTACTCAGGCCTCAGGGACAGCAGGGGGGCGGAGCGGTCAGTACTCAAGTCTGAGGGCTGCAGGGAGGGGGGAGCGGTCAGTACTCAGGCCTGAGGGCTGCAGGGAGGGGGGAGCGGTCAGTACTCAGGCCTGAAGGCAGCAGGGAGGGGGCAGGGGGCAGTACTCAGGCCTGAAGGCAGCAGGGAGGGGGCAGGGGGCAGTACTCAGGCCTGAGGGCAGCAGGGAGGGGGCAGGGGGCAGTACTCAGGCCTGAGGGCAGCAGGGAGGGGGCAGGGGGCAGTACTCAGGCCTGAGGGCAGCAGGGAGGGCGGAGCGGTCAGTACTCAGGCCTGAAGGCAGCAGGGAGGGGGCAGGGGGCAGTACTCAGGCCTGAGGGCAGCAGGGAGGGGGCAGGGGGCAGTACTCAGGCCTGAGGGCAGCAGGGAGGGGGCAGGGGGCAGGGGGCAGTACTCAGGCCTGAAGGCAGCAGGGAGCGGGCAGGGGGCAGTACTCAGGCCTGAGGGCAGCAGGGAGGGGGCAGGGGGCAGTACTCAGGCCTGAAGGCAGCAGGGAGGGGGGAGCGGTCAGTACTCAGGCCTGAGGGCAGCAGGGAGGGGGCAGGGGGCAGTACTCAGGCCTGAGGGCAGCAGGGAGGGGGCAGGGGGCAGTACTCAGGCCTGAAGGCAGCAGGGGGGCGGAGCGGTCAGTACTCAGGCCTGAAGGCAGCAGGGGGGCGGAGCGGTCAGTACTCAGGCCTGAAGGCAGCAGGGGGGCGGAGCGGTCAGTACTCAGGCCTGAGGGCAGCAGGTAGGGCGGAGCGGTCAGTACTCAGGCCTGAGGGCCGCAGGGAGGGGGGAGCGGTCAGTACTCAGGCCTGAGGGCCGCAGGGAGGGGGGAGTGGTCAGTACTCAGGCCTGAGGGCAGCAGGGAGGGGGGAGCGGTCAGTACTCAGGTCTGAGGGCCGCAGGGAGGGGGGAGTGGTCAGTACTCAGGCGTGAGGGCAGCAGGGAGGGGGGAGCGGTCAGTACTCAGGTCTGAGGGCCGCAGGGAGGGGGGAGTGGTCAGTACTCAGGCGTGAGGGCCGCAGGGAGGGGGGAGTGGTCAGTACTCAGGCCTGAGGGCAGCAGGGAGGTGGGAGCGGCTGCAGGGAGGCACCTGTGCTGTCCGCAGTCCCACGTGCCCACCTCTGGAGGGAAAGACAACATCACCCCTCAGTCGGAGCTGGATACGCCCTGACCCAAGGTCGGCACGGGGCACACGCACCCCTCCAGTCAGCCCACAGAGCACACGCTTCCTGCTCGCTGCCCGGGCCTGGCTGGGACAGCCCTGGGCTCTGACCACGCAGGACAGCACAGGCCTGCTCAGAAGCTGCAGACAGAACCACGCTGCCACGCTGCCTGGGGTTGCAGGACAGGTGACTAAATAGCAGTAACCAATCACACCAGGACATGACCCCTCTCCAGTCACCTCGACAACTGTGTGGTCACATCTGCTTGTTCTGTAAGTGGCTTAAGAGAGGAAAATGGCAATTACAGGGAACTAAGGTCAGTGAGCTGCTCCGGACTGGAGCTGAAGCGAAGGTGCGCGAGGAGGACCAGGCCTGGGAGCAGCAGCGCGGCCGGGAGCCTGCCTTCCTGTCCGAACCTCTGCGTCACGCAAAGCAGAACCCCCAGAATGTATAAAGCCATAAATACTGGAACTGACCACTCTTTCAAAAATATAAAAATATTAGTAAATTATCTGACACACATGTAAGACAAGATAGAACTGACTATAAAAGAAAAACATTTTCGAATAAAATCTATTAAGGCTACCATATTAACATATTTTTAAAATACGTATTTAACATTTACGTTGGTATAGCTGTGGGTATAAATACTATTTATTTCCTAAAGCACCATTTCTTTACAGACTAAACTATATAAACATGGCCTGAAAATACACACTTTACATATAAGTCGTGTGTTGAAGAATTTTAAATAAAGTTAGTGTTTAAAGATGATTTTAATTTTTTCCTATCACAACAGGAAAGCAAGGAACAAATCTGCAAGCAGTTCTCACGCGAGAACATATTTCTCTGCCAGCCCAGCTCTCATCCTCACGGTACTTGCCAGTTCTGTGTTCTCACGCAGGAGATGATTTTCATAGTCCGCACCCTCGAAATATATCGTCCAAGTGCCCGGTGAGCGTGCGTGAGGAATCAACCTGCAGAACCCTGAGGAGAAAGGAAGCAAGTTACCACGGAAAAGCGTACCCCGTCTCACACACTACAGTCGTCAACGTCTGAAGACACGTTTGCTTGTCTTACTCCACCTCTACATCCTCCGACACTGAACTACCGGACAGTTAAAACCACGTCCTTGTTTTGGTCCAATGGAAGGTCAACACCAAGTAGAAAAGTGGAAGCGGTTCGGCTTCCTCTCTGCTCTGAAGAGCGTGCCTGTTCCGTTGGACTCCGTGGGCCCCACCTGACCCCTCCTCGCAGGTCCCCCTGCTCCACTGCCCGAGGCTCCCGGCACCGCCGAGCGCCACAGCAGAGGAGGGCGCGGCGCAGGGACCGCGGCCTCGCGGTGGAGGCCTGTGCTGCCGGGCGCTGGGTGACAGGACCCAGACAAGACGGCGGCTGTCTTGTGTAGTGACCTGGGTAGGATGGGCTCGTTCTCATTTTCTTACAAGTCTTACTTGAATTTCTTACCGATAAATTTTAGAATCATTTTATAATGTTTTAAAGATTATCTTTGACATTTTCATCAGGGACAAAGGATGAAATGTTTAAAATATATTCTTCACTTAGTCAGATCAGATTCTGAGCTTCTCAGAGATGTTTTGACCAAGTCACATCACACAGTCTTGCATAATTCTTGTGACGTCTCCCCAAGCAGCCTCACTGTCCTCAGCAGATCGCAGCCACTGTGGGTGCCCAGGGCCAGGCCCGCACCGCAGATGTCAGCAACAGTCCCGGTCAGGCCCTGGTGGGCACCCGAGCACCCTGGTCATCTCCTCCAGCACCCACTAGCAAGGACCATCCCGGCGCTTACAATGGACACTTACAGGATGTTTGTGGTAGAGGGAAAAGGAGACGTCACAAATACTCGGTTAACATAAGAATATGGATTGATTTTACTTAGCGTTAGTCCTTTCTTTTTAAATCACGGTTTCAATCAAGTTTCTTTAAAATATAACCTACAACTTACTTCTCTTTCCCCTTTTAGAGAATCATAATTATCATAGTTTTGAAATTTCAACAATTGTAATTTTATTTTTTCAAATGTCGGGTTTCCACAACAAGTCTGCCCACACTGCAAGCAGACACGTTCTACTTTTCTTTGTGGAAGGAGCGTGTCTCAGATCAGGTGTGAGCCCGAGCTGACCTGACAGCCTTCACAGTATCACACAGAAGCAAAAGAAATGGGAGCTGGGAGCGCAAAGCTGGTGTTTGGCTTGCAAAGGACAGTGTGAAAGTTAAAAACACGGAGGCCTGGACATTTACTTTTTTATTTGGTTTCCTCTTAAGGTGAAGAAAGCTCTTTGTAAATGTCCTAGAGAAATACAGCAGCTTTCTGTTCACCCTTTGTAAGTAAAAAGGGTGGATCGTCCCACTACTGACACGCACACATCTCTTGCCTGCTTCTAGCTCAGTGTGTGTGCAGGTGAGCAGACTGCTCACTCTAGTCTCTGAAGGTGCGATTGTAGAAAATACGTACAACTGCTCACTGATAGACATCATGGAATATTTTGGGGTGGAGGTGGGAGGGAACGCTGTTTAAAGGAAAACTCATTCTTTTGAAACATGATACCTGTCTATTTTATTGATACGGGGAGGCATCTGCCTGTCACAGTGGTATACTTTGGGGACTTCTGGGGAAAGAGCTCATAGCTGATTTCAAGGTGAGCAAGGATCTCTTGTGTGACCTCACTTTCACTCTAGTCCAACTCATTTTTATAGGGTGGTAGTTGACTCCATTTTTCCTTTTGTCTACCTCACAGCTCTGGATAGTATATTGTTTCTAATATACTTCAGAGCATAGTCCTTCTAATGTGATGTTTTGACAAATCTGCTTTTTTAAAAGGCTTTGTAATATGGCTATTTTTATCGCAGTACAAAATAAATAAATGAAATGAAATATAAACGAAAGCACACAGGCACAGAACACGCGCAGCCCCTCCGCCAGCCCTCAGAGGCACCGGTGTGCTGGCCGCACTGCCACCGCACAGCGAGCAGGTGTGAGCCGGGCTGTGCAGAACGGCCTCAGGCCCTGCGCTCACCATTCAAGAGCGCCTAAGGGGGTCAGGAAGGAGCATCCTCGAGGCGAGACCTCCGACTTGCAGCCACAGCAGCTGTGCGCACACCAGTACCGCACACGCAAACACTGACAAACAGGCCCCTGCATGCTATTTGCAGCAGGAATGGAAGCAGCAGGCCTGGCACTGCTGGGGGGAGGGGAAAGTGAGGACAGTCCTGTCCCCTGGGGCTTGCACACAAACACAGAAGACGGGATGTTCACAAACATGTTTCAAATGCTGCCACAAAGAACCACAGAGGAACCTGGAACCACTGGTGGGGAAGGTGGCGTCAGGATGACGCTGAGGCTCTGCAGACGTAGGAAAGTCAGGAGAGCAGTACCGAGGCCCCAGGCCCGGGCGCCGACACAGCACACAGCACTGGCCACACAGCACGGCCTTCAGGGAGGGGAGGCAGGCTGCAGGGAGATGCTGGTGATCTGGTGACTTCAGTCTTACAGGAGCCAAGGAGAGCCAGAAACACGCCCGCTGTGAGGTCTGACGGCAGTGTGTGGGGTGGGCAGAATGGAGGGCTGGACGAGAGGCCTGGCCCAGGACCGCTGCCATGACAACACCTGTGTGTGCAGTGTGTGGGGTGGGGCAGAATGGAGGGCTGGACGAGAGGCCTGGCCCAGGACCGCTTCCATGACACCACCTATGTGTGCAGTGTGTGAGGTGGGGCAGAATGGAGGGCTGGACGAGAGGCCTGGCCCAGGACCGCTTCCATGACAACACCTGTGTGTGCAGTGTGTGAGGTGGGGCAGAATGGAGGGCTGGACGAGAGGCCTGGCCCAGGACCGCTGCCATGACCCACACCTATGTGTGCAGTGTGTGGCGAGCAAAGGTGGCAAGGTTCTGACATGGGGCGGGGTGTGGCATGGAGGGCACCGGGTGTCCACCTCTGACAGGTCCAGTGCCAGGGCCCAGCGCGGGGTCCTCTGACAGGCACCGGCTTGGGGACTCCCAATGCCCACCTTTCTCAGAAGTGCCCGCAGCCTGCTCCTCTTTCCTCTCCCACCCCAGGTCACCTAGAACACCCCTCTCCCCACCCCTGCGTTCCCGCAGGGCCACCGAACATTCCTATCTCCTTATCACAAGCAGCCTTTGTAAACTTTCAAACTGTCAAAATCGTTGAAGACACAAATCGATTGTGGTGAGCAAAGTAGTCACTGAACTTAAACGCCACACTCACTACATTTATATTCCTATGGACACGTAACCTGAACTTCTCTATTACTTTTGCTTAAAACCCTAACGTCTGGGTCTGACTCCCTGCATCACCAGCAGCCGGGACTGCAGCCTGGCCGCCCACGAGCCCCTGCTGCAGGCGTCGTCCTGTGTGTCCTCCGTGTGCCGGGGACGAGACAGACGTGCAGTGCGGCAGGAGCTGAGCTGCTGGCGGCACCACACGCCGGGGTGGGGCTCCCCGCGCAAACCAAGTGCCAGCAAGACCCTGGAAGCAGCAGCAGCCCCCAGGGGGTCCTATCAGCACACCCACTCCACAGCGAGAAACCGGAGAAGCGCTGCAGTCAGAATTCGGGCCATCTGGTTCCGAAGCCTGTGCTGCCCTGCACCAGTGGAGACACTTTGGCTGCAGAGGCTGCATCCAGCTACCAGGCCTGTGAACACCAAGCAGGGAGAAGCCGCAAAAGGTGCTGCCAGCCAGCCCAGGCCCGCGCACGGATGACACCAGCCAGCCCAGGCCCGCGCACGGATGACACCAGCCAGCCCAGGCCCGCGCACGGATGACACCAGCCAGCCCAGGCCCGCGCACGGATGACACCAGCCAGCCCAGGCCCGCGCACGGATGACACCAGCCAGCCCAGGCCCGCGCACGGATGACACCAGCCAGCCCAGGCCCGCGCACGGATGACACCAGCCAGCCCAGGCCCGCGCACGGATGACACCAGCCAGCCCAGGCCCGCGCACGGATGACGCCAGGGGGCAGAGCCTATGTTCACAGGCAGGCACAGTGCACCCACAAGAACTCTGTGTGGACAACCGTGACCCTGTGTCACCAGAAACACTTCCTTCAGAGTCCCTGGAACAGTGACTTCAGAAGCACAAGGGACGCTCCACGTGAGTGGACTGCCACATAAGAACACAGAATCGGGGTCACAGTTCAGACTCCAGACACCATAACCAATACTTACCCCTCTGGCACAAAGGGTCCAAAAACTCTTGCAAGCCATTTGGAATGTTTCTGACGACATCGCAGGAGTAACCGTCTTCGGGCAGAAGGAACGGCAGCTGCAGGTCGGGGTCCTCCTCCAGCTGCACCTCCCTCCCATCGCTGCGGGCCAGCTCGTCGGCTGTGTTTTCAGCCACAGCCACGACGCTTTCTATCAGATCCTGGTTACAAAAAAATGCAGAATTAAAAAGAGATGCTACATGACTGGTGCAGTTGACCAGTAATTGTCCTAGAGTCCGCTCTCTGCAGCGTGGCTATCTCCACTCACGCTGGCCGTGAGGGAGGCCAGTGCGTCAGCAGGTTCAGTCTGTGAAGCAGCAAAACACCAGCCAAGTGCACACTTGAGTGTATGAACCAAGATATTAAATAATAATTTCAAATAATGTGTAGTTTTAAATAAAAAGAAATTTTTCAATCACAAGAAAATGGGTTTTCTCTTTCCAAAAGTAATCATTTTTCCCTTGCACAATTTTTCAACATCCAATATTAACAACCCTATTTTCACAGAAAATTTAATGACATAGGAAAAAGCTCACACGATGTTAAATGTAAAAAACCAGAATAAAATACCTATTTTCCAGCTTCTACAGAGTTCTGAATTACGGGTCCATAAGTGATTTTGTTTAGGAAGTTTTCACCAACCCCCAATGCACACCCGGGAAGTCCGCACACCCTGATGTCTGTCACAGGGTGATGACGCACATAGCAGCTCAACCACCAGCGGCCTCTCGAGCCTCCCTCCTTCCTATCACCGCTGCCCAGGCGTCCCACATGCAGACCCCACGGGAGCACATGTGTATCCCTCGGATCTGACGACTTCTGGGCAAGGTAGGTCGTAACATTCACCCAAGGTGCCGCGTGCTGCGAATCCTTCCTCCTCACTCAGGGCCACACCCTCATGACTAGAGCATGACTGCTGCCGGCATGTGACACCGGGGCGGGGCTGTCAGTGAGGAGGTCCTGGCGGCACAAACTCAGTGCTGGAGGTCAGCAGAGCACTGTGCCCACCAAGTGAACTCACCTCTGTCTGACGCTCAGCCCTGCACAGGGATTGCTCTACTTAACTGTGATGCGGGTGTTTGCAGCACCGCCCACTTTGCGAGCAGCCAGCTACAGGCCACGCTGTGGGCTGGCTGAGGCGCAGGAGGCCCCACTCCAGACTGTTTCCTGCAGGAGCCTGGATGCACAGTCAAGACTGCACAGGCTGAGAGGCAGCTGCGTGGGCAAGCCCGCAGCCTCTGTGATGTGAGGACACCTGTGGCTGCGCCCAGACACTGAAGACTCCAGGGCAACTTCCTAACTCCCTCCCCATCAGCCCCCAGTGATTTCCCAAGAGCCGAGTCCCCTGAGTTAAAGCTCTTTCCACTTAAAATGCTTGTGTGGCTTCTGCACTGAGCCAAACCCACAGATCAAGAGCAAGAACAATCTTGTAAGATGACCAAGTAAATAAGCTTATTGTTAAAGTAATTAGACAACATTAAATAAGTTTCCCATCCCCACTCCCCGTGCAAACAGGTCCCACACTGTGCCCACGGTGCCGCCCTTACCGTCGGGATGAAAGGCTCATCAGGTGCACAGTGATAGTTCTGTAATAAGGCCTGAAGCTGCAGTGAATTCAACTTGAAGCAGGTGCTGTTGATGTTTGGAATGTCATCGGGGGCATACTTGTCCATTGTGAGCAAAGTGGTGGCCTATTTAAAGGGATGAACGACATGACATGATTTACACAGACTTCAGACAGTCCCCTGCATATAACGTGCACAGCTGAATGCCTTGCTCACTGATTCTAAAATGCAGGTACTTCTAAGGGGTCAGCTCCGTTAACGCTGGCCATCCACATTAAACTGAAATGAAACGGCTGACTCGCAAAGGCTTTAGATGGCCTCTTTAGTTTACTGAGAGCGACAAATGACACTCAATTGTCTGTGCTCATAAAGCATCTAAAAGTCTCTTAGACACTTCAAGCACGTCCATGGCTGTTCAGATGAACAGTGCCCGGGGTCTGGATGCAGCTTCCCTACGATGACCTCTCCCATCACCAGCTGACTCGGAGCAGGAGGGTGCCAGTCTCTTTCTAGGCTAATCGCACAACAGATTAGGAAACTGAGAAACTTGGCCCTGGCCGGTCTGGCTCCGTGGTTGAAGCCTTGGCCCAGACCAATGAGCCGTGGGTTTGATTCCAGTCAAGGGCATGTACCTCAGTTGTGGTTTGTCCCCGGCCCTGGTGGGGGTCGTGCGGGAGGCAACCAGTCGTGTCCCCCTCACGTCGATATTCTTCTCTCTCCCTCCCCTTCTATATGAACAAAAAAATGGAAAAATGTCCTTGGGTGAGGATAAAACAAAAAAAGAAATTGAGAACTGTAATAGCACAGAGATGCTGCCCTAGGTCCTGAGGCTGTGCTCATTCCCTTAGCTGTCAGACAGCAGTTCCTCGTCCTGGACACGCGAGAGCCCCGCGCCCCATGCCGCAGGACACGCGAGAGCCCCGCGCCCCATGCCGCGGGACACGCGAGAGCCCCGCGCCCCATGCCGCGGGACACGCGAGAGCCCCGCGCCCCATGCCGCGGGACACGCGAGAGCCCTGCGCCCCATGCCGCGGGACACGCCATGCTGTCCTGTCCCTGCTCCCAGGCTCTCCTGTGTGCTGATGACTTTCCAGATGCTACTTCAAGCCTTTCCTCTCCACCTCTGGCCGCCACTCTGCCCCGGCCTCTGCCCCGGGCGCCACTCTGCCCCGGGCGCCACTCCTGCCCCCGGCCTCTGCCCTGGGCGCCACTCTTGCCCCGGCTTCTGCCCCGGGCGCCACTCCTATACAGGCTTCTGCCTGGTGGTTTCCTGGTCTGTATTCGTAGGCATTAATGATCATTGTTAAATGAGAATTTCCCTTTCAGCCTGGCCGCTGTGGCTCAGTGGACTGAGCATTGTCCCAGGGAGGCTCCAGTGCGTTCCTGGTGAGGGCACATGTGGGGTTGCAGGTTCAATCCCCGATCGATGTTTCCCTTTCACATCGACGTTTCTCTCTCTCAAAAACAAACAAAAAAAATCAACAAAAACATTAACAAAAAATTTCCCTTTCAGTATGGAGCTCCATGAAATAAAATAAATATAGCTTACTAGTCTCAATAAAAAAAGACCCTTTAAAGATATTTATTCTACTGGTTATAATCTGTTATGGGCTGAAGTGCATCCCCCGAGTTCACGTGTTGAGGTCCTCACCTGTGCACCTCAGGAAGTGACCTCATTTGGAGACAGGGTCTTGACAGAGAAATCAAGTTACAATGAGGCTATCCTTACAAACGGTGGACATGTGGACAGACATGGGCACAGGGAGAAGGCCCTGTGGGATGAGGGCAGGTCGGGGGATGCATCTAAAGCTCAGGACCCCAAAGATGCCAGCAAACCCCAGAGCAGATCCCCCCTCACAGCCCCGGAGGCTCCAGCCCCGTCTCCCCTGATCGCGGCCTCCCGGCCTCAGAACCGAAAGATGTACGTTTCTGGGGTGTAAGCCCCCAGCCATTTTGCGAGTGACCCAGGCAAGTGAACACAGCTTGGTTCCAGGGTCTGCACAAGGACAAGCCCAGCAGGGCCGCGGAGCCGTGACCACCCACCTGCACGATCCGGCTGAGGTGACAGTCGGCAGCCAGCTCCAGCCCTTGCTTCTCTGCCCACGCCTCCACATGGCCCAGCTGCTGGCGGATGATGGCCCCCCAGTAGTGGGAGCACAGCCCCGACTCGGGGTCCGTCACCAGCCTGTTGAACAGCCACATGTTGATGAAGTGGAAGAGCTGAGAGAAGAGCTGGATGGTCAGGGCCGCGTTGACTCGGCAGCGGCGCAGCAGCGACATGGCCCCCGTGAGCGTGTGCAGAACGTCGTCTGTGGGACAGGAGGCCGGGCACCCAGGGCACCCGCCGGGAGGCTCCAGTTAGCAGCAATTTAGATAACAGCACTGAGAACACCGCCTCACTCATACGGGAGGGCGCTGTGGCTGTGAACCACGTGTGGGCACTAACTATCCTTATTCAGCACTGCAGCTCACTGACACTTTCTGAAAAGGTACAGCCAGCATGAAATACCAAAATAAGAACAATTCTTAAACAAAACAGATGGTAGTTAAAACGTACTATTTTAATAAGAATGCTAACTGCAATAGGATAGCTGGTTTATTTTTAAAGTATCTCCCTCTTATACATATGTTAAATACTGAAATGAAGGCAAACCAGACGGGGGGGCGGGGGGTGCCCTACCTATTTTCGGTCTGTGCAGACTGCTCTCTTCAGGGTCATCCAGAAAGGCTGGCATGTAATTGTTCAGCTCTGACTGAAGACAGTGCACCAGGTGTCTGCAAACATACACAGTCTGAGGATCTCCGCGCACTGGGCCGCTGCCAGACGCCGTGCACGAGACACCATCAGACTGCTCAGAACTACTTTCATTACAACACGTGTAGTAGTTTCACCCTCAGGATCCATGAGACTGGATCAATTTATTAAGTAGGCACATCTTCATAGTTATTTATGCTTTTTTTTCCCTTATTGATTTTTGAGAAAGAGAGGAAGGGAGAGGGAAGGAGGGAGAGAAAAACATTGATGAGAGAGAACATCGATTGGCCGCCTCCTGCATGCCTCCCCCACCCCGGGGATGGGGCCACAACCTGGGCATGTGCCCTGACTGGGAATCGAACCAGTGACCTCTCGTTCTCAACCACTAAACCACACCGGCCAGACCATGCTTCTTGGTATTATTCAATGAGAGTAAATAAAAACCTTTAAAATTACTTTTGAAAATTTAACAAGAGAACATACGACTTAAATTTTTATAGAGTCCAGCCGGTGTGGCTATTGTCCCATGGACTCAAAGGTCCCAGTTCGATTCCCAATCATGGCACACGCCCAGGGCTGCAGGCTCAGTTCCCAGTAGGGGGCGTGCAGGAGGGAACCGATCAGTGTTTCTCACATGGATCTTTCTACCTCTCGCTTCCTCTCTCTCTAAAAAATAAAAATAAAACATATTTTTAAGTCTTTCTAGAACAGTGTCATCTCTCAAAACGTGCTCCTTACTTAAATGCCATTTGAACCAGGTGCGCTAACACGTCCTGGGCATCCAAGGTGACCCGGCTGAGGTCACGGTCCTGCTTGATGAAGTTGAGGAGCTCAGACGCGTTTGCCATCCAGAAAGCAAGCGCCCCTGCGATGTTCTTCTGTTTCTGTTGGCAGAACACATTCCTATAAGCAACTGCAGGACAAGCAGCAATAACCACCAAAAAGGAATACTCTTGGAAAGCTGCTGAAGATAGACCAGTACCTTCCCGTATTCACCAAGGTATTTACCACAGATACCAGATATTTGCAAAGAAATTTGGATATACACATAGCAGTGGGAAACAAATAACCACTGCAACTTCCAAGGTTTCACGCAGAGACACACGAATCTAATTGGCTGCCATGTATGGAATCAAAGGAGAAATGGGGATATCAAACAATACAGCACCGAATCAGAGGTTGTGCATTATCTGGTAATCTGCGCACATACACACATGTATCCATGGTTACCCACAGCCACCCTGATACTCGCAGTCACCGGCTTAGACACCAAGCAACTCGGTATCAAGTACTGATCTATCGCATCCTCTCCCGACCACGTGTGCAGGCCAGGCAACCTCAGATGAGATCCAAAGAATAGGAACCAAGGACAAACGATAAGGAGAAGAAACAGAACGGCTGTCATTTCATGTCCACACTGAGGTGCATTAAGCAGAAGTTATGAAATGCTGGTAAAGGTTGCAAGTCAAAGGGTTTAGTACTGCGTGTCAGCTGCGGAATGAGTGTTATGCGCGGCTCAGTCCCGTGCCTGGAGTGCTGTGCTTGACATGGAAGCAGCACGAGACTCAGCTCAGCCAACATGGCTGGGTCAGCCCCCAGCAGCGGGTCCTACCTGGTCAACCTGGTCTACTTCCTGGAGGAAAACAGACGAGGGGAAATCAAGCAGAACGAGAGAAAGAAACTCGTAAACAATCATGACAGTTCAAAAAATCAAAACACTCATATGAAGGTACATGAAGGCACAACATTTAGCTGGGTTCTTCCCAAATTACAATTCACTCACTGTCCTGGAGCAGCGCAGGGGTTGTACGACATAAAGGATTAGTTTTGTGTTCTGCACACTGGTATAATAATTAAGTAAATTCCTAGAGTTTATCAATGATGCTACAATAAACACATGAACACACATACTGCTCTCCTTGAGAGATTTACGAAGGAAGGACTTCTGAATGTCTTAGTGACACTGTGAGTCTGACACATGAATCTCTTCCCCTGGATTAATCAGGAATAATAAAAGAGACAGGAAAGACCAACAGAAACAATAAAAATAAAAGTTGAGACTCTTATATTGAAAAAACACAAACCTATACTAAAAAGTAAATTGCTTTTTGAAAGTGGGTTTTTACAAATTAAAATTTTTTAATTATTCACTACCATAGTTTGTTTCTAAAACATTAAAACTCCTCCAATCACGTACTAGACCTAAATCTGAAATTAAAACACTTGTTCTGATGATGTCAATGAAGGTCGAATTCAATAAGGACCAGCCCATCAAAGCAGGCAATGACTGGAGTCTCGGGACTGAAACAGGCCTCACAGACCCACACATGACGGAAGACAGAGGATGGTTTTGAATGACAACTGAAAAGGAAGTCACTTTTGTTTATAAAATAATAAGAACAACAAAATGGTACCCAAATAAAATGACTTTCCTTTTTAATCTCTATCTTCACTTGGGTAAAAAAAAAACAAACATCAAATTCATGTGCCAGTCACTCAATAAAAAAGAAACATATTTTTAAAAGTTTCGGCATTTTGCCCTGGCCAGTTTGGCTCAGCAGCTGAGCGTCGGCCTGCGGACCAGAGTCCTGGGTTCAGTTCCCACTAGGGGCAAGTACCACACACACAAAAAAGTTCCGGCCTTTTAAAACAGTTCTGAGAGAATTAAAGAATTAGTTTGCCTCAAACTATTCTGAGAGGAGAAAAACAACCTAACCATCTACTCATGTCACTTAACATCACACATCACTGGAGTTCTATAGTTGAAGAATATCACTGGCATGTGATTCAGAAAAACTTTTTCAAAATCTATGGATGTACTTTATGCTCAGATCTCGAAGGGTCTGCGGTGGGAAAGGTGCTGATGTCATCACTGCAGAGAGCACCCGGAAGACCCCGAGCACCCCACCAGGAGAACGCCCTCACTTCCTGTGATCTCCAAAGCCGATTTATGACAACATCTGAACCTGCGTTCCCGCAAGCGATGTCGTGATGCCACCGTGCCCGTGAGCGCGAGCGGAATGCCCGGCTCCCCCCGCATCGGGAGGCACTGGAGAGGAGCACATGCTCCTAGGGCCACCAGAGTTCTGAGGCGCAGCGGGTGCAAGCCCGACTGGGGGAGGGGCGGGACTGCTCGAGGGCGTGAGGCCTGCAGTGATGGAGGCCAGGGACCAGGCAGAGCTGGCGTCTGCGAACGCTGTGGATGTGGCTGAGTGCTCCTGAGTCACTCTCTTTGATATGGCACTTTTATTTTATGTGAATGTTATCTCAATACGTTTTTTTTTTAATTCTAAGAAAACCCACATCAAGTCTCAATACTTTCTCACAACTGTTGTGATTCTAAGGGTCTTTTTCATAATTATGTTACCACCTACAATTTATCTTCTCTTATTCTCAAGTTTGTGGGAAGAAGTAGTTTACATTTCTTTTCAACTTTCGAAGCTATACAGTTTCAATACAATGTATACAACGGTTACTTTAGGGAAAGTTCTCAAGACAAAGCCCAATCTGAAACATTAAACAAAGGACTTGAGGGCTCTGCCACCGACCACAACGACGACGGCAGGGCTGCAGCTCACCTGGATCACCCCTTCCATCATGCTCACCATCTTGCTGACCACGGCGACCACCCTGTGCGCGCGCTCGGCGGGGCTGGCCTCGGGCCTGCCCTGGCCTGACAGCACGTGCCGACAGGCCATGTAGAGGGCGTAGGTGGGGGACAGCTTAAAGTGCACCGTGGAGCTGTTGGCGTAGTTTATGATGGCAGAGAGAAACGAGTCTTCAGCTGTGAAAATATTTCAGAAAAGAACAAAAGAAAAAACCAACATGAAAATCAGAAGGAGGAAAATGGGACAAGAAATAGGTCGCCAGCAGCGGGATCTGGAATTACTCACAAGTCTCCCTGAATTCAATGCTGGCAGGCAGCATCAGCTCGGGCCCAGGAGCATCCTGCATTCTGAAAGAAGAATGTTGCCATCTCTTAAGATCAGGTCACCAAGCTCCCAGCAGCCTGACAACCTGTGCAGATTTCTGAAACCTAGAAACTCTCTACCGTTTTCTCGCAATGAGAACCTGCCAGTGCCCTTCATACTAACACATGCAACATCAGGGGAGCAGGCATCTCTCCCGACTCCTCAGAACTCAGCGCCTCCAAGTCTGCCCCGTGGGGAGAGCAGGTGTCCCGCGACTCCATTATTAACGAAGATCCCCGCAGCGCAGGCCCAGGCTGCTGTGCACCTGCTGAGCCCCGGCTCAAATAACAATGACAAGACACTGCTGGGCACAAAGACAATCTTTAAACCACCTCAGCCCGAAAGTCCTCTGTCCCAGGAAAGAGAAACACTCCCCAAGAAGTAGGCACTGTCTCCCCCTGACAAAGGTGAGACCAGACACTCCCTGGAGACCCCCTCAGCCACGGGGTTGGCACTTTCAACGCTCACAGTGACACGTGCCTTACAGAAGACAACCTACGCACTTACACTTCTTAAAGTCACATAAATCTGAGGCACTTTTCCCCATGTAGCCTGACACTATAAAACTAAGGAACAGCCAAAATTACAAACAAAGAGAAACTATACTTTGGAACATTTTTAAGAACTAGCACTGTACTAGTGTTTGTTTATTTCTAGGTATTCAAGATCAAACTAATTCAAAGATTAGGTAATTTGTATTAAAGAATTCTTCAAATTGTGGGTCATCCTGCCCCAACGGGAAGACCACAAGGTAGAACACTGTCCCATGAAATTCTTCTTTCAGTTACAAATATAAATATGTACCTATGTAGGCATGTGTCCACCCGGGCAAAAGGTAGGTGTATGGCATTGTACTGCGTGATTTGATAAGAAACATTTGAAAGCCATTAGTAAGCAAAGACTTTTGAAAAATGTGTACGATATGTTTTGTCTTTCTGCAAAGTTAACTGAAAAGTGAGCGGTGGGATTAAAGTGACTTATATCGCAATGACAGTATCTATTGAGTTAAACACTGGCTCAAACCAATTGAGGTCAGTGCTGACCAGACGGGCATCCTCTGGTGACAAGGGCACAGCACAGTGCCCGGGAGTCAGCCTCCACTGCCCTGGGACGACCACAGCACAACGACGTGCCCCAGCCCGTCCCTCTCAGACAGAGGGTGATGGACTGGCCAGAAGGAAGTATTCAGAGTCACTGGCATGTCCACTCATTAAATTAAATTAGTCCAAATAATAAACAATTTCTTCCGGAATGTAAACGAGTCCCATGATGACCACAGGTCTGTGCAGGTCTAGTCTGGCAACTAGACTACGGCCCCTGTCCCGCAGCCACGCCCTCCTCTGCCTCTGCTCCACGCTCAGGATGGAGGAGGGGAAATGAAACGGGAGCCAACTGAACTAGGATGCTCATTACAAGTAAAACAAAAATATTTTCATCAAACGATATGCTTCAAAGTTATGCAGCCTATGACAATAATTTAGATTTAACTCAACAATTTATGTGTAAAAATGCTCTTATAAACACAGTATAATTTAAATGCTTTGTTATTTTAATGTTTTCTTATACTGCCCTATTCACAGACATCTAAAATTGCAGGTTAGTAGTACTTTTTCACTGTAACATCCATGAAATAATCCTGGATAAACTTTACAAATGATGTGTTTCATCAGTTTAACAAATCTGGTAAAAACAATGATCATTTAAAATCACTCCTATCATTTGAAATATTTTTTTCCTTGACTATTCAAACATGCCTATTAAAGCAACTTAGATTTTTTAATAAATATAAGTTAAATTAAGCACTGCTTAGACCAATGCTGCATGTGAAAAACACAAAGACTGAAAATGGGAAAATCATCTATTTCCATCACTGTCCAACACACATATAGTTCAAATAAAACCTTTAATAAGTCTTTACAAAGTAAAATAATCTGACCTTGGAAAAAATGTAACGAATATACATGTTCACAGGATAAAATAATTTTTGACATACAATTAATCATCATGTGGCTGTTTAACACTGTTATCACATTGTCTTCCCTTCTTAGCTGTGCACACTCACTAATCTTCATACCCTGAAAGCACTGTCCTCATCGATCTCTCCTCCCATCTCGATTCACTCACTCAGTATTCGCGGGCTCAGAACTATGACGCACACCTCTCTACCACCTTATGAATAAACAGAGGTGCTCCTTACAACACTAATTCACCATTCTAAACATCTTCCAGAATATACGCCATCAAAAACAAGTACACAGAAAGTTGATTATATTACATCTAAAAAAGCTCACAAAGCCAACAAATATCTTAATAACCAAAAGCCCACAATAAAACCAAGAAAGAAACCTGAGATACCCACGTGAATCTACAAATTTAATCACTGTGAGGAACACTAAACTCTTAGGACATACAGCGCCCTCTGCTGGAGGCTGGAAAGGAAAGCGCTGTCCCAGGGCCTGTCATGGAGGGAGGGGCCTGGGTCTGTGAAGGGGACAGAGAGATGGTGCACTGAAGATCTGCACAGCACCCAAAGATGTCACTGTGGCTGCGAGAGCACGGTGACTGTCTGTCCTGGGCATCCCTCATTCCGCCTGGGCACTGAGAGCCCTCAGCACCATACTGAGCACCACCAACGCTGCAGTTTAAACCAACCAGCCACTGGAACGCACCACCTGTTATTAGACCCTGACAGTAATTTTTAACACTTAAACAGTCTTAGAGATCACAAGGAAGTAAAATTCTGCTTTGTTAAGGTGACATGTCATTTAAAAACCACAAGAAAATGAGAACACTGGAGAACATGCGAGAAGAAAAGCAATCCACCCCATCTGTCTCGAAAGGAAGACTGTGTGGCCGAGCAGCACGGCACTCCAGTGCCTAAAAACTCCTGCACAATCACTTTGGCTCTGTGTATTTTTAACATGTGAGAATTTCTTCTAAAAATGGGAAAATGGCCCTGGCCGGTTTGGGTCAGCGGTTGGAGCGTTGACTGTGGTCCGGAGAGACCCGGGTTAGGTTCCCACTGAGGGCACGAACCTCGGTTGCAGTTTGTCCCCGCCCTGGTTGGTCATGCGGGTGGCAGCCACTCGATGTGTCCCTTCACGTTGATGTTCCCTCCCCCCCCCACTGTATCTGAACAAAAAATGGAAAAAAAATGTCCTTGGGTGAGGATAAAAATAAAATAAAATAAAATAATAAATAAAAATGGGAAAAATGGTGGGTTTTAGATAAATTACTAAATATTAGAATCCTGTAAAAACCCTCCCTGTCTTACAGAGTAGCACATTTAAAACAAACATTTTAATTCAACAGGCCTATCTGAACTGGGTAACACTGTTAGGGGTGCAGTTGTGGATGAAGCATGTTCCCCCCAAGTCAACAACGTGAAGAGGAAACACTCGGAGAGTCACTGCCAACCTTCAGAACTGTCAGCTGACCTCTGTGGACCAGTGGCTTCAACCCGGCCCTCTCTGGGCGAGCGCCCCCTTCTTACAGGGAGGGGTGAACAGGTCCTACCTGCTCTCTTGCCTGCGGTACTCTGGCTGCTGCTCCACTCTGACCGTCGGCTTCACCATCCCCCGCTCGGCAGTGCTGCAGGCAGACGACGCCCTGTCGCTGTCCAGTCTAGTGGAGCTCTGGTCAAGGGGAAACACGAGGCGCTTAAGAACATTAGCACTGCAGGTGAAGACGTGAGCAAGACAGGGATGCAGGAGCGAGCACAGGCAGGGACCCTGCACGCTGAGGACAGCCTGTCCACAGCGCACGCCCAGGAACACACCATCATTAAAGAATAAAACACACAGCTGCTTCCTTTCCAAAGGCTAGAAGCTCGCTTTACAACACAGGCATGCAAACGTGATGCACCCACAAGGGCTCTTCAAAAGCACAGTAATAATCGTGTCTTTATTCCAAAAAGTTCTCTTAAATCAGGACAGAGCATATATTGGTAATATGTACAATATAAAGAGTTAGGTTCTTTTGGTTAGTTTTAGGAAAAGATTTAAAGATCTGCTCAGTATAGATCAATCCCTAATGAAGAACTGAGTACAGAAACTGGTGTGTTTCTTGCCCTCAGTAACAGGGAACAGACACACGTACAGTGACGCAGTGCATGTGCCCCACACAGCACACTCCCACCCAGCCGACAACACACAGGGAACAGACACGTACAGGGAGTGCATGTGCCCCACACGGCACACTCCCACCCAGCCGACAACACACAGGGAACAGACACACGTACAGGGACGCAGTGCATGTGCCCCACACAGCACACTCCCACCCAGCCGACAACACACAGGGAACAGACACACGTACAGGGACGCAGTGCAGGTGCCCCACACGGCACACTCCCACCCAGCCGACAACACACAGGGAACAGACACACGTACAGTGACGCAGTGCAGGTGCCCCACACAGCACACTCCCACCCAGCCGACAACACACAGGGAAAGACACACGTACAGTGACGCAGTGCATGTGCCCCACACAGCACACTCCCACCCAGCCGACAACACACAGGGAAAGACACACGTACAGTGACGCAGTGCATGTGCCCCACACGGCACACTCCCAACCAGCCGACAACACACAGGGAACAGACACACGTACAGTGACGCAGTGCAGGTGCCCCACACAGCACACTCCCACCCAGCCGACAACACACAGGGAAAGACACACGTACAGGGACGCAGTGCATGTGCCCCACACAGCACACTCCCACCCAGCCGACAACACACAGGGAACAGACACACGTACAGTGACGCAGTGCAGGTGCCCCACACGGCACACTCCCACCCAGCCGACAACACACAGGGAAAGACACACGTACAGGGACGCAGTGCATGTGCCCCACACAGCACACTCCCACCCAGCCGACAACACACAGGGAACAGACACACGTACAGTGACGCAGTGCAGGTGCCCCACACAGCACACTCCCACCCAGCCGACAACACACAGGGAAAGACACACGTACAGGGACGCAGTGCATGTGCCCCACACGGCACACTCCCACCCAGCCGACAACACACAGGGAAAGACACACGTACAGTGACGCAGTGCATGTGCCCCACACGGCACACTCCCACCCAGCCGACAACACACAGGGAACAGACACACGTACAGTGACGCAGTGCAGGTGCCCCACACAGCACACTCCCATCCAGCCGACAACACACAGGGAACAGACACACGTACAGTGACGCAGTGCAGGTGCCCCACACAGCACACTCCCATCCAGCCGACAACACACAGGGAACAGACACACGTACAGTGACGCAGTGCAGGTGCCCCACACAGCACACTCCCATCCAGCCGACAACACACAGGGAACAGACACACGTACAGTGACGCAGTGCAGGTGCCCCACACGGCACACTCCCACCCAGCCGACAACACACAGGGAACAGACACACGTACAGGGACGCAGTGCATGTGCCCCACACAGCACATTCCCATCCAGCCGACAACACACAGGGAACAGACACACGTACAGTGACGCAGTGCAGGTGCCCCACACAGCACACTCCCATCCAGCCGACAACACACAGGGAACAGACACACGTACAGTGACGCAGTGCAGGTGCCCCACACAGCACACTCCCATCCAGCCGACAACACACAGGGAACAGACACACGTACAGTGACGCAGTGCAGGTGCCCCACACAGCACACTCCCATCCAGCCGACAACACACAGGGAACAGACACACGTACAGTGACGCAGTGCAGGTGCCCCACACAGCACATTCCCATCCAGCCGACAACACACAGGGAACAGACACACGTACAGGGACGCAGTGCATGTGCCCCACACAGCACACTCCCACCCAGCCGACAACACACAGGGAAAGACACACGTACAGTGACGCAGTGCAGGTGCCCCACACGGCACACTCCCACCCAGCCGACAACACACAGGGAAAGACACACGTACAGTGACGCAGTGCAGGTGCCCCACACGGCACACTCCCACCCAGCCGACAACACACAGGGAAAGACACACGTACAGTGACGCAGTGCAGGTGCCCCACACAGCACACTCCCATCCAGCCGACAACACACAGGGAACAGACACACGTACAGTGACGCAGTGCATGTGCCCCACACAGCACACTCCCACCCAGCCGACAACACACAGGGAACAGACACACGTACAGTGACGCAGTGCATGTGCCCCACACAGCACACTCCCACCCAGCCGACAACACACAGGGAACAGACACACGTACAGTGACGCAGTGCAGGTGCCCCACACAGCACACTCCCATCCAGCCGACAACACACAGGGAACAGACACACGTACAGTGACGCAGTGCATGTGCCCCACACAGCACACTCCCACCCAGCCGACAACACACAGGGAACAGACACACGTACAGGGACGCAGTGCATGTGCCCCACACGGCACACTCCCACCCAGCCGACAACACACAGGGAACAGACACACGTACAGTGACGCAGTGCAGGTGCCCCACACAGCACACTCCCATCCAGCCGACAACACACAGGGAACAGACACACGTACAGTGACGCAGTGCATGTGCCCCACACGGCACACTCCCACCCAGCCGACAACACACAGGGAACAGACACACGTACAGGGACGCAGTGCATGTGCCCCACACGGCACACTCCCACCCAGCCGACAACACACAGGGAACAGACACACGTACAGTGACGCAGTGCAGGTGCCCCACACAGCACACTCCCATCCAGCCGACAACACACAGGGAACAGACACACGTACAGTGACGCAGTGCATGTGCCCCACACGGCACACTCCCACCCAGCCGACAACACACAGGGAACAGACACACGTACAGGGACGCAGTGCATGTGCCCCACACAGCACACTCCCACCCAGCCGACAACACACAGGGAAAGACACACGTACAGGGACGCAGTGCATGTGCCCCACACAGCACACTCCCACCCAGCCAACAACACACAGGGAAAGACACACGTACAGGGACGCAGTGCATGTGCCCCACACGGCACACTCCCACCCAGCCGACAACACACAGGCAGGACAGCTTCCTACGTTAAGAAAAACAATCAGAACAGATTCAAGATGTACAGAAAGAAACCCACTGTAGCAATGTGTCATGTAAGAGTTCTCATTACATCTGTTTACTGCAGAAATTGAACCTATATAACTAAAAATCACCCTGTCTTACCAACTAGAGTAACATGGTGCTATATGTACTTTGCAATTTTTCACATTCTCCATAAATGAGATAATACTACTTTGCAAAAATTTACTCTTTCATATGTCGTAAACATCTGCAAAACCATTTTGGTCACAAAGTCGTGTGGCTATATAGCGTTTTGTTGTCCAGCCATCAAAACCCATCAAACCAATCATTTATGTTGAGATGCTGATTGGCATATACAGGGAGTCATGACAACTGAGCTCGTAAATACTATGTTCATACACGGTAACTACTTCCATAAAATACATTTATAGAAATAAAACTGCTTGGTCACTGGATGGCAACACTTAAGACTGCAAAAATTATTTTAAATGAATAATCAGGAAATAGATAAATTATGGTCTGTTCATATGCTACCATATTACAATACAATTGAGTTTGTTTTTAAATGATTTTCAAAGGAAATGCTCACAAAGTAACAGCCAAAGGAAGGACAGAAAGCAGTATGTGTGTGTGGAGATTTAATCACGTTAAAATGTATAAATGCACAAGCAGCGTTGAGAATTCAGAAAGGGATCCGTCAAAATGTCATCAATAGTCAACTATAAACGGTGAGTGAACGATTTTCGTGTTGTTGACTGTTTGCAGCTCACAGCTCCCGGTGCTGACTGCACTGCTAAGCTGCTGCGGTGCCTGGGGGCCTGAGGGCACGACTCCAGGGAGGGACCCCCTGAGGCCTGAGGGCAGAAGGGCAGCCAGAGCAAACAGCGGCTGGGAAGGCCGCGGGCACCAGGGAGCAGCGGCCAGGAGGCCTGGGTGCAGTAAGGGCCGTGGCCAGCACATGCTCAGCGGGGAGGAAAGTGGGCAGGTCCTAGGGGGCGCTGTGTACACCCGGGTGAGGACTCCGCAGCATCCCAGGCCTCTGAAGGTGGGCAGTCACAGAAGCTAATCACACCTGGGAGGCATCGGTCCGGCAGTGGGAGGACCACGCCGCACAGAGGAGGGGCTGCTTCCACAGGAGCCTGCAGGGCTCCGACCCTGCGAGAGCCCAGTGATGATGCAGGAAGTGGACACTGCGGGCTGCTTCAGGGTGGAGCGAAGAGGACCTGCCATGGCTGGATGCAGAGGCCAAGAGAAGGAAAGGCACCGAGGAGAAGCTGGGACTTATTTCCCTGGATGCAGGGTGTCGGGTGCTGAGACGGGGAAGGGTCAGGGAAAGAACGATGTGGACAGAGAACATCCAGCTGTTTTAGCTGTTAAACCTGAGACGGGTGTTAGCCATGCCCATGGGCATGTCAAGCAAGGCTTTGGAGCAGGGAGATCAGGGCCGAAGACGGAGGCAGGAGTCATCGGCACAGACAGCACTAACTCCCGCAACTGCAGACCGCCTCACGGACACAGAGCAACGGAGGGCGGGGTTCCGGTCTGATGCCTTGGACCTCCAATTTGAGAAGTGAAGCAGAGGAGGAACCAACAAATCAGAGTAGGAGGAACAAGCACCAGGTGGGAGTGCACAGAGGGGACACCCTGGAGGCTGGAAGGAAAGTGCACCAGGTGGGACTGCACAGAGGGGACACCCTGGAGGTGGAAGGAAAGTGCACCAGGTGGGAGGGAACAGAGGGGACACCCCGGAGGCTGAAAGGAAAGTGCACCAGGTGGGAGTGCACAGAGGGGACACCCTGGAGGCAGGAAGGAAAGTGCACCAGGTGGGAGTGCACAGAGGGGACACCCTGGAGGCAGGAAGGAAAGTGCACCAGGTGGGAGGGAACAGAGGGGACACCCTGGAGGCTGGAAGGAAAGTGCACCAGGTGGGAGTGCACAGAGGGGACACCCTGGAGGTGGAAGGAAAGTGCACCAGGTGGGAGTGCACAGAGGGGACACCCTGGAGGTGGAAGGAAAGTGCACCAGGTGGGAGTGAACAGAGGGGACACCCCGGAGGCTGGAAGGAAAGTGCACCAGGTGGGAGTGAACAGAGGGGACACCCTGGAGGCTGGAAGGAAAGTGCACCAGGTGGGAGTGCACAGAGGGGACACCCTGGAGGCTGGAAGGAAAGTGCACCAGGTGGGAGTGCACAGAGGGGACACCCTGGAGGCAGGAAGGAAAGTGCACCAGGTGGGAGGGAACAGAGGGGACACCCTGGAGGTGGAAGGAAAGTGCACCAGGTGGGAGGGAACAGAGGGGACACCCTGGAGGCAGGAAGGAAAGTGCACCAGGTGGGAGTGCACAGAGGGGACACCCTGGAGGTGGAAGGAAAGTGCACCAGGTGGAGTGCACAGAGGGGACACCCTGGAGGCTGGAAGGAAAATGCACCAGGTGGGAGTGCACAGAGGGGACACCCTGGAGGTGGAAGGAAAGTGCACCAGGTGGAGTGCACAGAGGGGACACCCTGGAGGCTGGAAGGAAAGTGCACCAGGTGGAGTGCACAGAGGGGACACCCTGGAGGTGGAAGGAAAGTGCACCAGGTGGAGTGCACAGAGGGGACACCCTGGAGGTGGAAGGAAAGTGCACCAGGTGGAGTGCACAGAGGGGACACCCTGGAGGCTGGAAGGAAAGTGCACCAGGTGGAGTGCACAGAGGGGACACCCTGGAGGCTGGAAGGAAAGTGCACCAGGTGGGAGTGAACAGAGGGGACACCCCGGAGGTGGAAGGAAAGTGCACCAGGTGGGAGTGCACAGAGGGGACACCCTGGAGGTGGAAGGAAAGTGCACCAGGTGGGCGTGCACAGAGGGGACACCCTGGAGGTGGAAGGAAAGTGCACCAGGTGGGCGTGCACAGAGGGGACACCCTGGAGGTGGAAGGAAAGTGCACCAGGTGGGCGTGCACAGAGGGGACACCCTGGAGGTGGAAGGAAAGTGCACCAGGTGGGAGTGCACAGAGGGGACACCCTGGAGGTGGAAGGAAAGTGCACCAGGTGGGAGTGCACAGAGGGGACACCCTGGAGGTGGAAGGAAAGTGCACCAGGTGGGCGTGCACAGAGGGGACACCCTGGAGGCTGGAAGGAAAGTGCACCAGGTGGGCGTGCACAGAGGGGACACCCTGGAGGTGGAAGGAAAGTGCACCAGGTGGGCGTGCACAGAGGGGACACCCTGGAGGTGGAAGGAAAGTGCACCAGGTGGGCGTGCACAGAGGGGACACCCTGGAGGCTGGAAGGAAAGTGCACCAGGTGGAGTGCACAGAGGGGACACCCGGAGGCTGGAAGGAAAGTGCACCAGGTGGGAGTGCACAGAGGGGACACCCTGGAGGGTGGAAGGAAAGTGCACCAGGTGGAGTGCACAGAGGGGACACCCTGGAGGCTGGAAGGAAAGTGCACCAGGTGGGAGTGCACAGAGGGGACACCCTGGAGGCTGGAAGGAAAGTGCACCAGGTGGGAGTGCACAGAGGGGACACCCTGGAGGCTGGAAGGAAAGTGCACCAGGTGGAGTGCACAGAGGGGACACCCGGAGGCAGGAAGGAAAGTGCACCAGGTGGGAGTGCACAGAGGGGACACCCTGGAGGCTGGAAGAAAGTGCACCAGGTGGGAGTGCACAGAGGGGACACCCTGGAGGCTGGAAGGAAAGTGCACCAGGTGGGAGGGAACAGAGGGGACACACTGGACGCTGGAAGGCAAGTGCACCAGGTGGGCCCTGTGCAGACAGACAAATGGAAAACAAGCCTCAGACTTGTCAGTACGGGGACATCAGTGCCCATGACACAGTCCCCATGAAGGAGCAGGAGCCAAACGAGAGCCGAGGACAAAAGATGGGGTTACAGGAAGTGGACACAGCCACTAAGAATGACTTCTTCAAGAAACCGTGCTGTGAACAGGAGCAGAAAGCTGGGCCGGGAGCAGGATGACCAGGCTTGTTCGGAGGCTGGTGAGAATGCTCCAGGCCCGAGGAGCTGGCTGCACCCCGGCCTCCACAGAGCTCTAGCCTGGGCAGATCCTGTGCTTCCCTTCGCACAGGAACATGGTGGGGAGGGGGCGGCAATGCTCTGACCGTTCCCAGCCTCAGCCTTAAGGAGACCTGCAAGTCCTGTGGCTCCCGGGAGGCATCTCCATGGGGCTGCCCCATGGAGACACAATGGGGCGAGAGGCCAGCAGGCCCTGGGTCCCAGCACAGCCTGGCCTCCAGTTAACCCACTAGCTGGACACGGCCACACACACGACCATCAGCAAGTCCAGCAAACACACCGCCCAGTGAGTCCAAACTCCCTCACAGCTGTAAACACACAGGCTGCTGCTGTTTCAATCCACTGGGTTCTGGGGTGTCTGTTTCCCAGCAAGAGAAACAGATAACCAAAACGCGAGAGAAATAACTAATTACATAAGAGACAAGGAGAACTGGGGAGGCAAATGCCCAGGGAGGTACTGACAGGTGGGAGCTGGGACTAAGCTGAGGGGGAAGGAGACAAGAGTCCATTATCTTCAGGGATCACCTGCCCGAGAAGGGCTGGTCCCACATGGCTCAGAAGAGAGCACGGCCCTCTCCTCAGGGAAAGCACGGCCTGCCCTGTCCCACGAGCCCCGAGCGCACAGCCCCGGTGAAGACCGCAGCAGAGCAGCTCCACAGCAGGTTTACGAGTCCACTGCAGTGAGCCACCTGCTGTCGCCACGTCAGACAGACAGGTACTGCCGGTAACACGCGACCCCTACCTTGCTTGTTGGCAATGCTGTTCCACTGTGAATGTCTCCTCCTACGTCAAAAGTTGTCTCCTGAACAATTCTGTCGGAATAAAAGATAAACAAACAAAATGAACTCTCGAGTGATGAGGCAGTCTGGCGCTGGTGACACAAAAGGAGCAGCTCGCTCCATGTCCCAGCCCACAGATCTTCAGCAGATCATGTTCTCGTCAGCATACAAAGTTACAGAACAAACCACGACTGTAACAAACCACGACTGTAACTTTATGAACTTCTCTTACCAATACAACTAAACGTTCTCAGGATCGTTTTCTTTAAATTACATTCAGAAACAGTAAACCGAAAGGAACCATGAAGACAAGAGCGAGCTGTTTCACCCCGGAAGCCTCTGTAGGCTGCAAAGGGCACAGAGATAACGTGTGCACGTCTCAGGTGCCAGGAGCCCACCGGCGGCCACGGGAAGGCGACAGTGCCCACAGGCAGGACAAGGCACAGGGGCTGAGCTGGCCACCTGTCTGAAAGTCAGTCTGATGATTTTTATGGATCCCACTACTTAAGCTACAAATAAAGAAATGGAGAAATTTTTGATGATACTAATAATCAGATCAAGAGTTATTCCCATTTAATCAATTTTTTAGACTAGTCCAAAACACCAAAACTTTTACACCACCCTTGTGAAAACGAATTCAGAATATGGACACTCATTCCCAACAGGAATAACCTGGGCAGGGTGAGCGTCCCCGGCTGTGATGGAGGCCGCCCGGGGCCATGGCCGCGCCTGGACACCGCCAGCGCGAGCCAGCACTTCCGTTCCTGGGCTTCTCAACAGTCAAAAATCAAAATTTCCCCTCTTTATAATATTTTTAAAATATATGGTCTAATTTCAAAGCACTATGCTAACTTGAAACTTTTACTTAAGCCCAATCTATAGAATAAAACTAAAAAGTGGTGAAGAACTTCAAAGTAATTTTCAAATTAGAAAAGCAGGTACAGCCCTGGCTGGTTTGGCTCAGGGGTTAGATCATCGGCCCGTGGACCAGAGAGTCACGGGTTTGATTCTGGCCAAGGGCATGTACCTCACTTGCTGTTCTGTCCCTGGCCCTGGTCAGGATCATACGGGAGGCAACCAGTCGATGTGTATCTCATTCATCAATGTCTCCCCCCTCCACCCCCCTCTATCTGAAGATAAATAGAAAAATATCCTTGGGAGAGGATTTAAAAAAAGAAAGAAAAGCAGATACAAATTCTTCCTCTACCTCCTCACTATAAAAATAAAATCACCTTGTAATGCAAAATAATATCATGCTTTAAAATAGTAACTTTTGAGAAAGGAAAATTAAAACAAAAATTTTTTTCTTTATTGATTTTAGAGAGAGGGGAAGGGAGAGGGAGGGAGAGAGAGAGAAACATCGATGAGAGAGAACACCAACTGGTCGCCTCCTGCACGCCCCCCACTGGGGATCGGACCCACAACCTGGGCATGTGCCCTGACCGGGAATCAAACTGGCGAATTCTTGGTGCAGGGTCGGTGCTCAAGAACTGAGCCACACCGGCCGAGCAAGAAAGTAAAATTTTTTACTGAAAGATAAATATCAACTTCTGAAAATGACTTTACACAACATTAGTTTTGTGAATGAAATACTTCCCTCTGTCACCAAGACATTGACAAAGCAGAAACGCCCTGCTGGTGTGCAAGCTGACCTCCCTCTCACGACCTAGCAAAGCAACACAACCTTACCCGTCCCGACTCCCTCTGTGGGTGGACGGAAATACAACCAAAGCCGTTCTGATTCCACTTGCAATTATCACCCTAGAATAACAAACTTACACCATCCATGCAAAGCTGACCCTCCATGACCCCGACGACACTGTCACAGGCTCTCGGTGCCAGAGCCTTGTCTTGGCCATGTCAGCACTCAAAGTGCAAGTCACAGGACACAGGCTCAGACAGGACGGATTCAGAAATCCCTAACGCTCCTACACTGCCCGCCGACATCCCTCCAGGAACTAGAAAAACAACACAGCCCAACATTACTAGATGGAAGGAAATAACAAATACAGAGCAGAAATAAAATAGACACTATAAAGACAATAGAAAAGATCCACAAACTAAGAGCCTGTATTTGAAAACATAAACAAAACTAATAAACCTTTAGCTAAATTGACCAAAAAAAAAGAGGACTCAAATAAAATCAGAAATGAATAAAACACCTAGGAAGAGACTTAACCAAGGAAATAAAAAACCTGTACAGTGAAAAGTTAAGACGTTTATAAAAGAAATAGAAGATACAAAAAGGGGAAAGATAGTCCATGCTCATGAATTAGAAAAATACTGTTAAAAATTCCATACTACCCAAAGCAAGTTACAGATTCAATCTGTATTAAAATTCCAATGACATTTTTCACAGAAACAGAACAAACAATTCTAAAATTTGTAAGTAACCACAAAAGACCCCAAATAACAAAAGCAATCTTAGAAGTAAAGCTGAAGGTATCACCCTTCCTGATGTCAAATTATACTACAAGACTATAATAATCAAAACAACATGGTACCAGCATAAAACACACACATAGATCAATGGAACAGGAGACAGAGAGCCCAGAAAAATACCTATTCATATGTGGTCAATTAATTTAAGAATACGTGATGGGAAGGGACAGTCTCTTCAATAAAGGTGCTGGGAAAACTAAGCTGATACGTGCAAAAAAAATAAAACTGGTCCCGGCCAGGTGGCTCAGTTGGTTGGAACATCGTCCTGTACACCACATGGTTGTAGGTTTGAGTGTCAGTCAAACCCAAAGGGCACATATGAGAGGTAAATGATCTGTTTTTTTCTCTCTCTCCCTCTCCCTTCCTCGCTTTAAAAAAACAAAATCAATAAAAATATATCCTCAGGCGAAGATTAAAAAAATAAATAAAACTGGACTAATTGACACCATACATGAAAATTAACTCAAAGTGGATTAAAGTCTTGAACGTAAGATCCGAGAGCATATGATCCCTGGAAGAACACCTAGGGGAAGCTCCTCAACACTGGTGTTAACGGTGACTCCTTGGGTCTGACACCAAAAGCAAAGGCAATGAAAGCAAAATAAACAAGTGGGACACACCCGCTGAAAAGCTTCAGTGCCGCCGAGGAGATCAGCCACCTGGAAAGATGACTACGGAGTGGGAGAGAACACCTGGCACGGGTAGTATCCAAACTACAGGGTGTGGCAAAACTAGGTTTACAGTTGTGAGTACATGGAACACAGAATTTACTTCTGTGTTATGATTTATTAATTATTGTGTTATTTTCTTTTTCTTTTTTTTTTTTTTATCCTCACCCGAGGACACTTTTCCATTTTTTGTTCAGGTAGAGTGGGAGGGAGAGAGAGAGGAACAGAGAGAGAGAGAGAGAGAAACATCGACGTGAAAGGGACACATCGAGTGGCTGCCACCCGCACAACCGACCAGGGCCGGGGACAAACTGCAACCGAGGTACGCGCCCTTAGCGGGAACCGAATCCGGGTCTCAGGACCGCAGGCCGACGCTCTAACCACTGAGCCAAACCGGCCAGGGCTATTGTGTTATTTTCCATACAAACAATCATAAACCTATTTTGCCCCACTCTGTTCATAAAGAACTTACACAACTCAACAGCAAAAAACCAAACAATCCAAGTTAAAAGTGGGCAGAGGATCTACATAGACATGTGGATGGTCAGACAGGAACATGAGAAGGTGCTCAGCATCACGCATCAGGCAAGTGCTAATCAAAGCCAGATGAGCTCTGACCGTGCAGCTGTCAGGATGGCCACCATCAGAAGAGCTGGGACCGCTGGAGAGAAGTGGAGAAGGGCGTGTGTGCTGGGGGGAGCGTGAACGGGCACGGCCACCGTGAGAGCAGCAGAGAGCACGCTCAGCATTCGCAATCTTGCTCACAAAGGCTGGTCTTCCCTGCAAGTTTGCTCCGACTCTACAGATCTCAAAATTCATATGGAAACGGTGCCTCCCAGGCCAGCAACCCTATGACAGTCAGCCTTCCATTAATCTGAAGATGGCTGGGATGAGGATGGTCCTTTAACACCTCTAAATTAATTTTTGCACACACATTAGAAAAAGCCTGCTATAAAATTAGGCAGAAGGAATAGAACACATTTCATTGGTCTTTAGAAGATTCAAAGAGGACTGAGACTGACTAAGCTGCGATGCCATGCAGATGTCAACCCAGTTCTCTGAGCTGTTACAAACGCTGTCCCTACTTTAAAGGGGAAGGCACATGAATTTGGTCAGGGACAGACACCGCTGTGCAGTCTCCAGACAGCAGAACCCGCCTGTGCCGTCTGCTGCCTGTACGTCTATGGACACACGGTGCAAACATGAGAGAACTTTCTACCTCTGGATGGTATTGCGAAAATAAATATAAAGCAAGTGCGTGTAAGGATCGGGCATTCTAAAACCCTTAGAAACAAACATTAACTAGCATGCTCTTGAAATGTGTGTGGTCTGAGAGGAGCCGTCAGTAAGTAAAAGCTGGCTCAGGTTTGCTGGCGAATCGGAAGGAATAACAAGGGGCAGACAGTGCAGAATCGCGCTTGCACGTAGCAAAGAGAAACAGACAGTGACATGCTCGATGCCATTCAAAGAAATTACTTCCCTCAGAAAAGAAGCTCACTCACTGTGAGAGGCGACACCGCAGGTCCTGGAAGGGCAGGACGCGGCACACAGAAGACACCTTTGCAGGCGATCACTTCCTCTGTGAAACGTCCGGGGAACAGGTGGGAAGGAAGGGTATCAAGCAGGTGAGCTACCTGCCAGGATGTCCGGTCCTGGAGCAGGAAGCAGGCTGAAGGGAAGCTGACGGTGGAAATACAAAAGGAAGACACCTGAGCAGACTATGTGCTGAAATAAGGAGCCATGTAAAGGTCAAGACAAGACACAGGAAAGGGGGGAAGTGGGTGGAAATAAACAGAGATTAAGAAAGGAAGAGAAAACCCTGGTCCTCCCAGGCACAGAATGGAGGGATGAGTTTAGATATACGTTCATTTTAAAGTTGTAGCAAAGTCAGACTTCTCGAGGAGACAGGAATGGCATGGGCTGGTTGTCCTTGGGAACTAAGAGGTCTGGTCATTTGCTGAAGCCTGGAGCTCAAAGGGAGAGTCCAGAAACATACCCCAAGCAGCCCGGGAAATGCCCAATATGCCTACGTGAGCACGTGTGGTGATCCACGAAGTGTCCCTCCTGGAGGGAGAGAGGGAGCCTGACTGTCCTGCTGCCCTGACTCCTTTCCTTTGCCAGGACTCCATGTGGACACAGAATGGACAAGGGGCACAGAGCTCACCGATGCCTCCAGGCACAACCAGAGTAGAGCGGATAATGTCGATGAACTGTCCAAAGACCAACACAAAGAAACTCAGAAAGTTCACAGCTGGCCCGAAGTCTACGCCCGGGTGGTTAAGCAAAGGGAGGTTGCGGGACAAAATTCAAGGGCAGCGCAGAAAAACAGCCACGGCTGCTCCTCGGCACAGACTCCACTTCAGGGGACATTCCGGTGGCTTTGAACAGCACGAGATCCATGCCCTATCGTATCAGCCTGTGAAATGGACACTCACGTGGCTAAACACCACCGAACAGTGAGCCTCTCTCAGGCGGGACTTGGGTTTTCTAGTAACAGACCAGCACTGCAAGTCCTCAGGAAGGCACTAGGTGGCGCTCAAGTATAAAGTACATGGCACTCCAAGCTCTTAATGCGTTTCCTCCTCAGGTATTAAAAAATGCACACACCCTGGCCGGTTTGGCTCAGCGGTCAGAGCGTCAGTCTACAGACCAAAAAGTCCTGGATTCAATTCCGGACAAGAACATGTACCTTGGTTGCGTTTTGTCCCAACCCCAACCGTGTGGGTGGCAGCCAATCGATGTCTCTCTCTCACATCGAAGATTCTCTCTCTCTCCCTCTCTCTTTCTGTCCCTTCCGCTCTGAAGTAAAATGGAAAAATATCCTTGGGTGAGGACTAAAAAATACAAATGAAAAATGAACACCTCAACAAAAATCTGATTATATGGGATCATTATATGGAACACCATAATTCTTCACAAAAGAGCAAATCAAGTATTGTTTTAAAGAATCAAAAAACAAAGTATTTAAAAATAATTTAAAAACCAGCCACAACTCCCAGTGTGACGATGAAGTCAACACCTTTCTATCTTCTTCCCTCTGAAATCAACTAAATCAGCAAGAACCGGAACCACACACTCTGAATTTTAAAAATTAAGACAAAACTAAAAATTGAGAAACGTGACCTATGCCTGATTTGGAATGCTTTAAGCGTAACGAAAGAACAACGTACACTTCCCAGAGGTAATCTGCAATAGTTCATTACCCAGCTTTGTGTCTGTGACCCTTGGTGGGCAGGCCCCCGTCCACGGTCCTCTTCGCCAGGGCGTGGTCCTGGCTGGGGTCCACAAACTTGAACACGTGTGAGGCCCCGAACTGCACGCTCATCCCACTCTGCAGCATGGTTGTCTCTGAGATGCGCTGCCCCTCCACGTAAGTCTCCGCATCCATGCTTCTCGGTGTGACAGTGACAACTCCATCCATGTTCGTGAGGTCGCAGTGATGGGGCTGAATTCCTGCGCCAAACAACTGAAAATAAAGACAATCAGAGAAACTGCTATCCTAAAGTACAGAGGATTTAAAACAGAATCTTAAAACTGTGAATACCTCTCACCCCCTTTTTTAATTCTCACCCAGGGATATTTTTCCATTTATCTTTAGATAGAGTGGGAAGGAGGGAGAGAGAACCATCGACGTGAGAGGGACACATTGACTGGTTGCCTCCCACACGACCTCGACCAGGGCCAGGATGAACCGCATTGGAGGTACCTGCCCTGGACCAGAATCAAACCTGAGACTCAATGGTCCGCAGGCCAATGCTCTAACCACTAAGTAAAACCAGCCAGGGCATGAATAACCCTTTTATGATACTCTCAATATAATCTAACACACTCTCAATTGTTGGTGCTTTTAAAAATAGATTTTCCAACAGTATAGAAATAATGAAACACTGTCAAAGTCAAACATTTTATTCTTAGCATCCAGTGCTTTAAGGCATATTGTTAACGACATTAAAAAGCATATAGTCATTTCAAACATTAAGATAATTTAATGGGTAAATCTTTAAAAACATTTTTTTTTCTTTATTGATTTTAGAGAGAGAGGAAGGGAGAGGGAGAGAGAGAAACATAGATGAGAAGGAACATCGGCTGGCCGCCTCCTGCATGCCCCTCACTGGGTATTTGGCCCACAACCTGGGCATGTGCCCCGACCGGGAATTGAACTCTTGGTGCAGGGTCAACGTCAACCAATGAGTCACACCGGCCAGCAATGGGTAAACCTACACAGATCGTTATGATTTCGGATTCCTATTTGCCTGCATTACTGACGTGCTGAGAAGGAAAGGATGTCAGAACTGAATGTGACCTTAACAACCTGACCCGTCATTTCTGACCGAGAAATGAGAGCACAGGAGGGGGCGCCACCAGTCCCACACGACCCTCCTCACCCCCAGCGTGCTGAGCTCTGTCTTGTTAACTACTTGAGAACTGCACCCAGCTGACACTTGCACTGACAGCCCACGCTCCATGTGTGGCCCCAGGAGCAGGTGTGCCCAGAGGTCATCTCCTGAACCCTGAACCAGACCTATGAAAGCATCGCCGTCTTCTGGAGGAAAGCACCATCTCAGAGGAGTGTCACGGCACTCCACGCTTCTGGAGGGGGAGGGGGACATAAGCCCGCACTCCACGCTTCTGGAGGGGGAGGGGGACATAAGCCCGCACTCCACGCTTCTGGAGGGGGAGGGGGACATAAGCTCGCACTCCGTTCTTTTCACGCTGAAGCAAAGAAAAGTGACCCAGAGTGAACCAGTTATTTACATTAAAAGACAGAGTCTTTCATTGCTATCCATTCATCTGCAGCCATGTGCCATGGCCTCCTGGGGTGTGAGTTACAGAGGAAGCTCAGAGCTGCAGGGCTGCTGCGTACCTGGATGGAGCTGTCATCGAACTTCTCTGTCCCAACCTCAGTAACACTGAGCTGAAGGCGGTAAAGCTTCGGCTTATCTCTGGAGTCGGAACCATCTGCGAGCAGCAAATAAGAGGTTATCTCAGAAGTGACACCACAGTTCTCCATGTTTATATGTGCAATTTAACTAACTGCATACAGAAAGTTCAAATGAAGATATATGAACACATCAGCTTCTGTTTAATATAATTTAAGGTGCTAAATACTGTCATTCATATCAACATTTTCTCATCACATAAAAAAACATTTCTCTACCACACAGCCCTGGATTTTTGTGAATGAGTCTGAGGAGTGATCCTATTAGCCCATGAAATTCACCGAAGACACACGGACCTTCCCTTCAGGCCAGATCCTTGCTGCAGCAAACCTGCCGTCCACACAGCACATGGGGCCCCAGGGCTGGTGGGCGCAGTGGGTCACTGACGGAGGTTTCAAATGTACAGCCTCAGGGCTCACCCAGACCTCCTGCACCCAAATCCTTGAGGATGAGGTCCAAATCTGTCTTTTGAATACTGTCCCCAAGGGGCTCTGATGCCCACCACGGACATCGAGCGCAGTCTCAGCTCTGTGGAGCAGGGCTGCGTGAGGACAGGAGGAGGCGCTGTCTGGCTCCTGTGCCGCGTCACCCTCCCTGGAGTGCTGGGTTCCGCACGGGCCGTGCACGCACCTGAGATGCAGGCGGCTCGGCAAGAGCAGTGCCAGCCACACTGTCATGCGCACCCAGCATTCACGCACTCTGCACCCACGATGGCCGGTCCACTCTGCAGTGACGTCACAGGCCTGCTCTGACTTCGGAGCTGCTAGCACACAAGGAAGCACGCCCCCGTCTGTGAGGCCCGAGCGGTCTCAGCCGTGCAGTCAGCACAGTCTGCGCACACCGCTCTGCAGCGTCCCTACTGCACTGCCGCCCGAGGGCCTGCGGAGCCACTCGCTGAGCTGGGCTCCCGGTGCCGCCAGGAGGCTACGGAGCTCAGCACCTCGAGTGTCACGGGTTTAGGCTGCAGTGTGGTCTGAACTCGCAGACCGTAGACATGTCAGCTCTGTGAGAAGCGCTGTGAGAATACAAAGTAACAATCCAGCAACACTTCCTACTTCTGAAACGGATCAGGAGTCTGAACCTGGGGAAGGCAGGAGACACGAGCAGCATCTGGGAGCCTGAGGCCTCACACCCTGATAAAAGGACGGCCGTCGGCGCTGCGTCCCAGCACGCCGGGCTAGCCCATCGGGTGTGCTGGCAGCTCCAGCTCCAAGCCCGGGTCAAAGAAGGCACAGCTGCCGGGCTTTCCCTGGACCCGGCCACGCCCTCCCAGACCTCAGTGCACTGACAGCTCTGCTCCCTGTGAATGCCACGCGGGCCCGGGGCCCCTAGGTGAGAAGTGCGGGGTCCTGCTCACCCTTCCTGTCCACACCGCTGACCACACCTCACCATGCTTCCTATGTACTTGCCTCCCCAGCTCAGATCTCCTTGGTGGCTTTTTGGAAAAAAAATCTCTTTATCCTGGCACGGTCTGGTCCATTTCAATACAGATTTAATGTGTTAACAGAAATTATTAATAAAAATGAAGAAAACAGAACAATGCAATATGGTCACACAGAATTTACACAAACGAATTTATAAATTACACAAAAGAAGCAAATAACTGATCAAAAATAACTATTTCAATACAAAGTTCAACAATACAAAAACATGAAAAAGATGTCTGTTTAGAGGTGAAAGGAACATTCACTTCAGGTGCTTCTGCATTCTGCCTGCTCCTGAAAGGCCTCTCATGGCTAATAAATACGCATCACATGCTTCTCTACATCCACACCAACGGCGGCAGATTCGAAACTAGGAAGGGAAGGGAGAGAATGGACATCCTCTCTGACTGCTGCACAGTCAGGACAGGACACAAACAACACCTTGGACAGACTCCAAGGAACCTAAAGGGTGGCCCCGGAGGAGTGAATAGAAGGGTGTTTGGTTTGAGTTCGGAAAGGAGAGAAGAAGAGGAGATGAAGGCGAGTGATGCTGTAACAAGTGGTCCCTTCCGAGCTGTGCCAGTCCACTGCCGCACCCTTGCCCAAGGGTGCGCCCACCGCGCAGGCAGCCAGACACAGAACTGCCCCCAACACCGGTCTCCCTGTGCTCCCGGCCCTCCCCAGCTGTCCCACAACTAGCCCACTCTGGCCCAGGCCCCCCCCCGTCCACAGCAAACCTGGAGCCCTTCAAGCAGGCCGCCCTCTCTGCAGACCCTGCCACAGCGGCAGCACTTCTATCAGAACGCTCACAAGTTCTTTACTTCTATCATTTTGTCTTAAAAATAAGTCCCATGATCATGAGGTTAGACGCACAGGCAAAGAGAGCCCATGGTGAGTGTCCTCCCGCTCCGCCCAGCCGCTCTCGTCTGTCCCCCGCGTCACCCACCATTAAACAGCTGGAGACAAGGTCCCTCCCCCTCCTTTCTGGGAGGACACACAGACATCAGAGCACTATTCAGGGTTGTCAGGTAAAATACATGACACCCAGTCACATGGGCAGCGTTTGGGATCAACTTTAAATAACTGTTTTATCTGAAATTCCAATGCATCTGGGTGTCCAGGGTTTTCTTCGCCCACCTGACATCCCTACGCTCCTTCCCACACTGCTCGGCACCTTGTGTGATGTTCTCGTCAGGAAGGGGGAGCCCATCGTGAGCAGGTGGAGCACATTTGCCTGGGTATGAGCTTCGACTCCACGCAGCCCACACTCGGCTCGGTTCTGCTCCAAGGCCCCAGAGTGAGCGCTGGGAAGCAGAGGGGCGGTTGGCGCACTGACGGAGCACGGAGAGCCCCCGGTGTGCCAGGCACTGTGTTGCCTACTAGGGGGGCGCCGGCCGTGAGGACGTGAGCAGAGGCCCCTGCTCCCAGGGCTCACGTTTCGGTAAGCCCTGCCACAGCCGAGGAGCCATCGACGAGAATCTGAAGCTCACCGAACAAGCCTCGCGGCGTATCTCACTCCCTCTCCTCAAACAGAGCTGGCACAGAAACCAAGAGGACTGGCCAGTCAGTGGCACTGGCGCATGCCCTCCGCGACACACCAGGTGGAAAGGAGAGGCACTGTGCTCCCCACGGCCCCTCGTTGCTTCCGACTACAAAACTAACAAGCACATGGAAACATTCAAGAGTCCTCTTCAAGAATAAAATAACAAAGACATACCTTAGACTCTTCTTTATGTATATATGAATAGCACAATAGGTAAAAAATCTCACTTATTTATATTTTTCAAAAGAAGAAAAAAAATCCAAACTCCAAGTATTAACCCATTGGATATTGGTTAATATCCAATAAAAATCTGTATGATCAGTTTGGAGAAAATTCAACTAAAATAAGATGTTAAAAGGTAAATAAACTTAATACAGCATAGGAAAGAATCTGATTATTACCTTCAACATGTAAAAAAATAATATTTAAAATATAAAAACAGACAAAAAAGTATTCCATAAAACCAAGCTGCACCATGTGGATGACACAGTCTGAGATACACAAAATTTCAGGAACATTTTCCAAGTAAGAAAGTACAGCTTTGCTAACGAGAAGAAATGCATTTCACCCAGGAGAACAAGGGGAACCTGAGGAACCCCCTAAGACCCGGTGTGGTGTGGGCTAGTCCCCACAAAGGGACTAAGCGCCACACGGCTGGCTCTGTCCTCCCGCCTCCCAGGGAGTCTCGGGCACGTGGACGCTGGTGTAGGACGTGCTCCCACCAACTGTCACCCCTGGGCCACGCACAGTGGTGGACAGAACGGCTCCTCCTCCTGCCTCTCCGTCTCTGTCTCTCTTCCGCTCGCCCTCCACGTTCTCATTCTCCCCTCCCGGCCCCACCTCCTCCCCTTACTCTCGGGGTTGGGTGGGAGGAGAATAGGAAAACAGCTCTCTCCCTTCTTTAGTCCAAGGTTTACGTAAGACAGCCTGAATAAAGGAATCGAACATTTTTGCAAAATAAGCTTCCATTATATGAAATGAATCCTCGATAGGGAATACTCAGCATATATGAATAAAATGACAGCACATTAAATTTCTTAAAATAAGTCATTTATACCAATTCCAAACCAACACAGACGCACATGGCCAGTCAGCGCTGCGGTGCCGTGAGGCTGACAGCGCTGCGGCGAACGGGCAGGAAGCACAGCGTTACCTTCGTGAGTGTAGTAGCCGCAGTAGGCAGAGTGGCTCCTTCTCCCTGGGTTAGGAGCACATGCAGAGCACCCAGGTGAAGGCAGCGTCGGCGGGACAGAGGCCATGCAGGCATGTGGGAGGGAGGGAGGAGAGACAGGAGAGGTGAGCTGCAGCGAGACGCGTGCGCAGGAGAAAGTGCACCCCGCCCCCCTTCAGAGCTGAGGACAGGACACCAGGGGAGCCGTGGGGCAGGACAGCAGCAGTCAGTGACCCTGCAGGAGACTAGCCCCGCTTGGCTCACTCTTCTGTTGGAAGAACAGTCAGATCCAAAGCAGGGCTAAAATGACTGTTCTAGCCTCATTTCTCCAAAAGACAGTGCAAGCATACACCCCCATCTCAAAACCCCCAGCCCAGCCCTGGCCAGTTGGGCTCAATGGTAGGGTGTCGGTCTTGGACTGAAGGGTCGCAGGTTTGATTCCTAGTTGGGGGCATGTGCCTGGGTTGCTAGCCCCAGATGGGTCGTGCAGGTGGCAACCAGTCAATGTGTCTCCCTCATATCAATGTTTTTCTCTCTTTCCTTCCCTACCCTCCACTCTATCTAAAAATCAATGGGAAAATATCCTTGGCTGAGATGAACAATAAAAAACCTACAACCCACAACCACAGGACCTCAACCTAACCTTCCTTGAGGACAGACGCTTGCCTGATGACATGTCCGGTGGAAACACAGTCCTTAACCACTCATAAATCAACATGGACAGATCATTTGCTTGCAAATGGAACTCAGCCCATTCCATCCAGCATGCTGACTGTCATGGTGGAAACTCGGAGCCAGCAGAACTGCCGGAAAGGACGCGCCTCTGGCGGAGGCCCTGGGCCCAGCACTCAGGCCACTGCCGCCTGCCCGCCCTGACCCAGTGGCTGCACCCTGAGCGTGCTCTGGGGTGATGTCGGCCTCCACGCAGCCACTGGACTCATCACTCTGCGACGAAGGCAGGAGCAGCCTGGGTCACCTGAGACACCGCTGCTTAGCCTGAAGCAGAAGCTCGGTGAGAGGTGACAATGCAGGACGCCGTGACGGAGGGGATTTATCGACGAGCATGTGATGTATGCTGTAGCCGTATCTGGTGAAAAGTAGTGTAGAACCAACATTTATCTGCCCTGTATTCTCTTCCCACACCTACAGAGAGCTTCATATGTTTGCACCCCCGGGAGCTGAGCAGGAAACGAGCAGGCACACAGCAGCTCTCCCTGGGACACGAGTTCCCGGACCAGGTGCCACCCGCGTCGGTGCTCTATCCCCACGGCCCGGAACCGTCTCACACACAGCACGTATTCGGTAACTGCTAGTCCAACAGGTGAACAGACAGATTCTCATCCTGTCTCTGCTGCCACCCAAGTCAACTCTCCATTACTCATCTGAAAATTACTGTCGGCTGCTATTTACCAATTCTCTCTGAACTAGTAACACTCCTAAATCCTCAGAAAACAATCATTCATTTCTAGCATGTACTGCAAAATCTTAAAGAACAGACCCAATGCCCAAAGATCTTAAAACATTTTAAGTTCAAAAACAAACTGTGACCTCGCAGGTGTAACCACGCCTCAGACAAGCAGGCACGGCTGCCACACACTCTCCAGACACTGGGGAACATCGGGACTTGTCTCCAAACCACAGCAAGGAACCAGGTTTAAAGGAACTTTTCTGCCAGAGGACTGAGGACAAGGCGACACTGACACTCTGCACAAGCAGCTGGGCAAGGCAGAGACCCTCACACAGGAGGAGTGTGAAACCACACCTGCAGCACAGGGCACTGAGTGTGAGCCACTCGTGCCGACAGAGCAACACCGCTTCTCCTGTAGCGACAGCCCAGCTGTGCCGGGAGCCTACGGACCACAGCACCGTATCGAACCGTCAGTTATGACCCTGTAAGTAAACACACACACTCAAGAACCAAAAGAGAGAATAACGTAATTCCTGCCAAAGAACCGTAGATTACCTACATAACTGGTTTGGTTTTCAGCCAGCTTTTTCTGTAAGCACAAATAGAGCTTTATTTAAAAGCGGTTCTGCAATAGTCCTTCTCATAGCACGTTCATTATAATAGTGGTCACATTAGTATTTTAACCAAAGAAATATGGAATGGCATCATTTATCTCAAGATTGAACCCCGTCGTTTATCAAGATTGAACCCGGTTGTTTATCTCAAGATTGAACCCGTTATGCGCATCGCAGGTACGCGAATACATCCACTACTGGGGTGTGCACATGACAGTCCTTGATGAACGTCGATGCATCTCTCCACCTGATGGCTCACCTACAGCAACGCTTTGGCTTAAGAGAGCCCTACAGACAAAACATCTGAGGACTAACATGACAGTAACTCAGTCTGCTATCACTGTAAAACCAAATACCCCTCCTCGCTCACAGACAAATTTCTCAACCACACTGTTCCACGTGAAGACATTCTTTTCAGACTGCTCACACGTGGAGCCACACAGACGGACGCACTCACGCCCGCCTCCACTGGGCCTGCCCAAGGGGAGCGCATCTCAGTTCGCCACTGTTAGTGGGTTAAGTATTTCACAAGGTTATTAATTTTTTTTTAAAGGAGTAGATCAATTGAACCCCTCTTTCATTCTCTATAGTCACTATTTTAACTTTTGCTTTCCAGTATCAATTTCTGTCTACGTGACCTTATTTTTATACATGAAAGTACCTATCTTATGACCTTAAAGTTTTGGTATTTTAAAAAAGCAAATGTCATCTTATGAGGGTTACTTTTAAAAAAAATAAATGGCCTAGAACAGGTTGTCGGCCAACAGAAAGACCCCTTTCAAAGATGAGCATTTACACTGCTACTCACCTGGGCTCAACTCCACCAGGTAGGGCAGCTTGTCGGGCGGCAGTGCGGAGCCGTAGCCGGCCCCGTCAGCTCTCTCCTTGCCCTTTGCTGGCCTTCCGTCCATGTGCTTCTTGGTTTTCTTGGGGATGTAGTCCGGGGGTCTCCTCTTCAACTGAAAGACTAAAACCCCTGGAACAGTGCATTGTCAGTCATGACCCAGACGGAGTGAGCGGAGGCAGCCCGCTGAGCAAGCAGGCAACCACGCAAGAACTTCTCAAGAAAATGTAATTCAGTAACATCTTCCAAGGAAGAATGTGTGAAGGCAACTTGCAGAAGTTATTTCACATGAACTACCCAAGCACATTACATGCTTGAAAAATAACATGTTAAAGAATAAATGAATGTTTATATTGGTAAACAACCTAAGAGTGGTCAATATAAACATATATATAACACAAATACATATACACAAATTTATGTTTAGTTGATCTGATTTTTATTTCATTTAATTGACTTAAATTAATTCAGAATTCAGAGGAATTTCACTTTAATGAAGTTTAACTTTCTACTGTCTAGAAAAAGTATTAAGCAAGTGTACTTTTAAAACTACCAATCGACACTCAGCAGCGATGGAGTCACCTGCAGCCAAGCCGTGTGTGCTCATAGCACGGCGCCCACACAGCAGCAGCCAGCACCCCGGGAATCAGGGAGGGAACTGCTCCGTCAGAACACAGGTGCACTCCTCCACTGCTTTGAAATAATTAGAGGGAACTGTCTGAATAGTGAAAAGTCTGGACTCATTTTCTGAAATAACTAAAATTACTGGACGGTCGGTCTTCAGGGTGGCAGGGTTATTTTCCCTATTACAGCAAATCTGACCAACCCACTCAGGCCACCTGGTCAGCACAGTAAGGGCCCCCCTGCTGGCCTCATGACGACCTCCCACTTGCTGAGCAGTGCTCCAGTCCAGCTTCCTCAAGGCATGGCACCTGCTGCAGCGGGACAGTTTGTCCCAGATGTGCACACGAGAGCCCGAGGAACCTGGACCTCGGAACAAGGGGACCACCCGGGAACCATCGAGCGAGGCCAGGAAGGACTAGAAACCGCACAGCAAACAGCCGTCGAAAGTCCTGCCCGCACTCGCCTCTGCGCCCTCTGAGAACCAGGCACCTGAGATGTCAGGTGCACATTGCAGAAGGATTCTTTAACAAACAAAACTGCTCTCCCTTACCTCTGTCACCTGGCCACTCCCTGAAGATCTGTAAGGGACATTCGTCATCATCAAGGACGATTTCTTTAGCACCTTTTTCATCGGAATGCTGGGCTCCGGGAGGAAGCATGACCTGAAACAAAAAAATCATCACCTGCGACTGTACCTAAAAAGTAAACTGACGATATTTAAAGAAAAGAATTCATTGCTTTGGAGTAAATAAAAAATCACTGTGAAATCAAATTGATCAAACACTATACACCGTTCTCACTAAACCACCAACCAAAGTGAAGAAAAACAGTTTCAATAACGAGCTCGCAGCTTGGCAGGGCCATTTCTATTCACCTGCCCCTCTCTGGCCCCTGAGCTTTTTCTGTATAACAAACTTTTATATGGAAGAATAGTTTAATGGTTAAGTTGAAATTTCTTAAGATAACTTCATTATTGTAAATCTCTCTGGTCCCTAACCCACCCTTCATAATCAAACAATTGTTTTTGTAAGGTGGTTTCATCTAATGTGAGATCTCTGAGGATAACCATCACAGAACACAACAGAATAGCTTTGTTTTTCTTGCAGGTAACCGTCTTCATGATTTCATTTTAATCAGATTATTTAGATATGTTATAGGGCTATTCATTCAACAAATGTTTTTCATCATCTTTTTAAGATACTTACTATACTCTTAAATATTCATAACACTGTACTCCTCTACCTTTTTAAAAAAAATAGTAGCCAAACAATTTTCTCCATCATCTGAGAAAGCCCCGGTGGTCTAGACAAAGGCAGCTGGGTGACTGCCCACTAACCTCACACCTGCTGGGCTTTTGCTCATCCTCACTCAGCACTAACCCGAACCAAACACAGTTGCAGAACCTGCGAGGAAGCCAAGCCACTGCCTCCGAGCCTCTTCACAGCCTGCAGGCAATGTGGCAGAGCTGCCTGGAGCGACCTCCCCACGCAGAGGGCATCCTGCGCACGCCCACAGGGCCACACTCTCCTGCAGAGCCCTGCCACCTCCCTCCACTGCTCCGTGCCTCTCTACACCGCTTCAGGTTGTGTCCAGCTGCTCACCACAGCGCACCCACGGGCAGCGACCGTCTCTCCCGGTGCTCCCCACTGAATGCGCTATCCGGGCTCAGCGGGCACCCTGCTCTGGCACCAGCCTTCCCTCGGCCCGGCCTGGCAGGTGTCCTGGAGATCCAGCCACGGGGACCCCGCAGAGCTCTCCGCCCAGGCCACAACTGGCATGCTGCCGTTCGCCAACCTTCCAGCTAACATCAGGGCCTCCAGGAAAATGTCTCTGCCTCATTCTGATTTAAAGCACCTTGTTTGTATTTCTCGTTCTTGGCCTCTCTGTCTCCCACATCACAGGCCTTCTGAAGGCAGCTCTTACTCTGCTGTCCCAGCATAGAACCTAACACGAGAGAGAAACTCAGCACTCACTAAGACAGGTGAGACACCACACGAAGAAGTGAGCATGGAAGAGATGCACATCACCAAGTCATGAAGCTAAGAAAACAAAGAAATCTAATGCGAAGTTAAAATAATAATCAGCCCTTGATTTATACTGCCTAAGAAGCTTGAAAAAGAAAGTATGCAAGAACATAACAGAACAGGAAACCAAAACAAGGGAGAGCCTCAAAAGAAATGATCAAAAGTAGGCTTTTATGACTTCATGACTCCAATTAACTTTCTGATTTCCACATGTAAAATTTAGGCAGAAATTATTAAGAGGAAAATACGTTATGAAGTTCACTGTCACACATCATCTCAAATTCAACTTTATGAAACTATTATTTAACAGATTTACACACACTAGTAGGGTTAAAATAGATTTTTTTTCTTTATTGATGTTAGAGAGGAAGGGAGAGAGATAGAAACATGGATGAGAGAGAACATCGAATGGCTGCCTCCTGCACGCCCCTCACTGGGGATCGGGCCCACAACCTGGGCATGTGCTCTGATCAGGAGTTGAACCAGCAACCTCTTGGTGCAGGGTCGATGCTCAACCACTCAGCTACATCGGCCGGGCTCAAAATATATTCTTTTTTTTTTTTTTTAATCCTCACCTGAGGATATTTTTGCATTTATCTTCAGATAGAGTGGGAGGGTGAGAGGGGGGGAAAGAGAGAGAGAGAAATATAGACATGAGTGAGACACATTAACAGGTTGCCACCCACACGACCCCAACTGGGGCCGGGGACAAACTGCAACCGAGGTACGTGCCCTTAGTGGGAACCGAACCTGGGACTCTCTGGTCCGTGGGCTGATGCTCTAACCGCTGAGCCAAACCGGCCAGGGCTCAAAATATATTCTTTATCGCTAAGATACTATGAGTGGCTCTAATCATATCAACCATATGCTGGTTAATTATGAAAAGCAAACTGAAATTTACTTCAAGTTGAATCTTCACAGTAAAAGCCTCAAGAAAAATCATTAAAGCATACTTTGCTAAAATAAAGTTACCTATAAAAAATACCAATTGGAAGGATATATATATATATATATATATATATATATATATATTAACAGCTATTATCCACTGGTATTAGAACTGTGGGTGATTTTACTTTCCAACTGGCCTTTTTACGCTTTCTCTTACTTCCTAACAGGAGCATGTATTACTTTATAATGGGAGAGAATGTTTTCTACGCATTTAACACACGGTCTCGGTTCTCAGACTCTAAAGGCCGCCATGGGAAGAAAACGAGCCCAGACCCACTGCACGCGAGCCGATGCTCCGCAGTGGACACTGCGCTCTGCCCCGGACGGCCACTCACCCGGGCGATGCAGTAGTCCTTGGGGTTCTCCTTCTCCAGACCGTACTTCTCTAGAGCTTCAGCTACAGCAAAGTCTGCAGGGTCGGTGGTGGACAGCAGGATTGTCTTGTAGGGGATATTTGGTTTTAAACTGTCTGCATAAATTCTCAGCGTCCCACCTGGAAAACATCAGACGTCTTTGAGCACAACTTGCCCCCAATAGGTGCACTGGCTGACGCTCAGTCACTGCAGCCGGCACCTGAGCTCTGGGTGCAACGGAAGTGGAGACGGGAGGCACAGCTCCGCTCTCACCTCCTCTCGGACAGCACGCGCTGACCTAGCACAGCTGTGCAGCAAACACGCTGTGAGACAAAGGCCCTCCGGTCTGACAGCTCCTTAAGCCCAGCTGAGTTCTACATCGATGGACTGATTTCCGCTAAGATCATGAGGGCAAAGGAAGAAATGGAGCCTGACAATTCTGCTCTTCAAGCGCTCCCATGCCCTCACCTACACCTCGTCACACACCCATCCCCACGCTCCCCACTTCCTAACCCTCCGTCTGAAACCTACATCAAAACCCAGGTAAAGTTAAGTATCAACCCCACTGAATAAACCAATTGTAAAAGACTGAGCTAGACACCAGGAGATGTCAGGTGTTTCAGGAGGCACCTGCCACGGAAGCTCCATTTACTTCCAGGGACGCAAACCAGGGATCACTTCAGCTGTGAAGTCCTCTGGGAGGAGGAGACCAGCTAAGCAGAGCAGTTCAGCTATCGGGGCGGGGGGGGGGGGGCACTAGCAGAGGGTCCGCGCTGTGAGAAGCACAGGCATGGCTGTGAGACAGAGTGAGAGAGACTGCCCAAGCCCGTCGGCTGCTACAGGGATGGCCGCTGGTCCTGGCCCGGATGACGAGCGGCAGCTGCGTGGCCCCTAGAACGCTCTCTGGGCAGAGGGGCCAGCAAGCGCTCAGGCCCACGACTGGGACAAGCCCAGCTGGGCTGCCGGCCAATGGGGACAGACTGAGGTGAAAACAGGCAGGGACCAGATCATGCAGGACTTCGCAGACCAGGATCCCAAGTTCAGATTTACTCCAGCAGAAGCAGGAGCCTGCCTCAAAATTCTGTTAGCCAAAGACTCGGTAAAAAAATACATGGCCATTGTTGGTGGTAGAATATCTGTGCCACAAATCAATTAACTGAGATGTTTAGGACATTTCTGGATCAATCACAGTTTAAAGACATCACAGAGTGAATATAATATACCTGAATATTAAAAATACCGTACAGCCCTGGCCAGTTCGGCTCAGCAGTTGGGAGTGTTGGCCCAAGGACTGAAGGGTGGTGAGTTCGATTCCTAGTCAAGGGCACGTACCTGGGTTACAGGTTTGATCCCCGACCTTGGTGGGGGTCGTGCAGGAGGCAATCAATTGATGTGTTTCTCTCACATCGATGTTCCTAGCTCTCCCCCCCACCTTCCACTCTATTAAAAAATCAATGGAAAATATCCTTGGGTGAGTTTTTTAAAAAATTATATCTTTATTGTTCAATGTATTACAGATGTTCCCCATTTTTCCCCCACTGACCCCCTCTTCCCCACTCCCACCCACCTCCATCTGACACCCCTACCAGATAAGACTCTTGTCTGTGTCCATTGGTTATGCATATATACATATAAGTTCTTTGGTTTATTTCTTCCCATCCCCTAACCCCCCTTCTCTTTGAGGTTTGTCAGTCTAGCAACCAATTTGTACTTCTTAAGCCCTTCACCTTTTTCACCCATTCTCCAAACCCCCTCCCATCTGGCAACCAACAAAATATTCTTTATATCTATAAGAATGTTTCTGTTCTGCTTGTTCATTTTGTTTGTAGATTCAATTGTTGACAGCTATGTATATTCATTGCCATTTTGTTTGTTTATATTCTTTATCTTTTTCTTCAAGAAGACTCTTCAACATTTCATATAATAATCGTTTGGTGGTGATGAACTCCTTTAGTTTTTCCTTGTCTGGGAAACTATATGGCCATCGATTCCAAATGACAGCTTTGCAGGATAGAGTAATCTTGTTGTAGGTTCTTGCTTTTCATCACTCTGAATATTTCTTGCCACTCCCTTCTGACCTGCAAAGCTTCTTTTGAGAAATCAGCTGACAGTCTTATGGGAACTCCCTTGTAGGTAACTAACTGCTTTTCTCTTGCTGCTTTTAAGATTCTCTCTTTGTCTTGAACCTTTTGCATTTTGATGATGATGTGTCTTGGTGTGGGCCTCTTGGGGTTCATCTTGGTTGAGACTCTTTGTGCTTCCTGGACTTACATGTCTGTTTCCTTCACCAAGTTAGGAAAATTTTCTGTCATTATTGCCATTATTGTTTCAAATAGGTTTTTGATTTCTTGTTCTCCCTCTTCTCCTTTTGGCACCCCCAAGATGCGAATGTTGGCACACTTGAAGTTGTCCCAGAGGCTCCTTACACTATCCTCATTTTTTTGGATTCTTTTTTCTTTTTGCTGTTCTGATTGGGTGTTTTTTTGCTTCCTTATATTCCAAATAGATGATCTGCCTCCCCACCTCCTACCAGTCTCAATGTGGCTGCTTCTTTAATTCTGTAGTTGTAGGACTTCCATTCAGCTTGATGTCAGGCAGTTTTAAATGATGGTTGCTCTGTAGTTTAGTTGTAATTCTGATGTGGTTGTGGGAGGATGCAACATCGCGATTACCTACACTGCCATCTTGACCGGAAGTCCCCTGGGTATTAAAAAAAAACTGGCTCTGGCCGGTCTGGCTCAGCGGTTAGAGCTTCGACCTGCGGTCCGGAGAGACCCGGGTTCGGTTCCCGCTAAGGGCACGTACCTCGATTGCGGTTTGTCCCCGGCCCTGGTTGGTCGTGTGGGTGGTAGCCGCTCGATGTGTCCCTTTCATGTCGATGTTTCTCTCTCTCTCTCTCTTCCTCTCTCTCCCTCCTGCTCTATCTGAACAAAAAATGGAAAAATGTCCTCAGGTGAGGATTAAAAAAAAAAAAAACTGTACAAAGTTCATGGCCAAAGCTGTTACAAGCTATGATGTCTGACCAGCTGTGAAGTGAGTTAAGACAGGTGCATGTAAGTTATGTTATTGGAACTTGGGAATCCAACCTTGGGGCTAATGAGACAGAAAAATAACAGACCCAGCCGTCCCTCTCAGAGGAGCCTGACCCACACATGACCACCCAGAAGCTAGTTTGACAGCTACAGTAGGTTAAAAAGATGTATTTTCTAAGTTATTTATTAAAGACAAACGAAACACTTGAACTTAATATATACATATGTATATTTGACCTCCTTAATATTAACCATAAATAGATGTTTTGTTAACAAAACCTCATCTCCTGGGGTTTCCTTCTGCCCGGCACCCCTACCAGATAAGACCTACTTCTCAGATGTTCTGCTGTTTCTCCAACCAAATTCTTGGAAGGTTTTCTCCCCGTTTCTCCAACCAAATTCTTGGGAGGTTTTCTCCCCGTTTTCTTTGCCTAGTCCTCAAGGACACCCTCCCTTAGATTTTTGTATTATCTGTGTACTTTCTACCCTTCAAAGCTCAGCCACGTCCAGGACAATGCCTCCCAACCACACATCGCCCTCAAACCTCTACCTCCATCTGACACTGCCGACCAGCACTCGAGACCAGAGGACACCCCGCCACAGGCACACCTCACATGACACACAAATGAAACCTACCTCCCCCTCTGCCAAAAGTTCTTTCGTTTCCCAGCCCACATCTACCCAACCAAAGATGGGCATCATTCTGAATGGCCCCCTCCTCAGAAAATCCCAGTTTGTGACCAGTTCCTGGTAAAGCCACCTCAGCCAGCCCTCTAGTGTTCTCTGACAATGGCCCATGTCCACGCCGGGCTTGTCCACGTCAGGCCTTGCAGCAGAGACCCCTCCACGGCTGCTTCCACATGTCCTCGTCCCCTGCGTCCACACTGACTGCTCCAGGTCTGAAGCTCAGGCTGAACTAAACGCTTTCTGAACCTCAGTCTAACTCTTCGGCAGCTTACCGTTGTCCCTACGACCTGCGGAGTCCCTTCAGCCTGGTACACGGCAGCACATGGTAGGTATCAATGAGCATTCCTTTTGTCCTTTTAAAAGTGTTTACTACCTCTCTTTTTCTTTTTTCTTTTTTTTTTTTATCCTCACCCGAGGACATTTTTCCATTTTTTGTTCAGATAGAGTGGGAGGGAGAGAAAGGAACAGAGAGAGAGAGAGAAACATCGACATGAAAGGGACACATCGAGTGGCTGCCACCCGCACGACCAACCAGGGCCGGGGACAAACTGCAACCGAGGTACATGCCCTTAGCGGGAACCGAACCCGGGTCTCTCCGGACCGCAGGCCGACACTCCAACCGCTGAGCCAAACCGGCCAGGGCTCTTTTTCTTTATCTTTGTATCTTCTCACCCTCCTCCTTATTATCTTTCTAGCGCATATATTTAGAAGTCAATTCAAATGCTTGATTAAACAAGGTAGAAAATACAGAAACTGGTGACTCGAGTCTCTGACGTAATCGATTGGATTGTTTATGGGACTAGTAAGGCTCCCACTCTCCAGTGTTTGTGAGTCGCTGATACTCAACTCCCAGAAACAGATAACCAAGACTGAGCTGTAGAGCAGTGGGCAGAACAGCCTGGGGCTGCGGGCGGAGGCAGTCCCAGGGCCAGCTCCCATCCTGCCCGGCTGTCCACAGCACCGCACTGCAGACTCCGAAGACATGGAATCGTTGGCAACTTCTGTCGCGGCGGCGAATCGTGACCATGCACTTTAGAACCAGGTGTACAGGCCGCCTCACCACTGGAGACCAGGTAAAAGGGACTGCTAAGAAACTTCCGAAGAGCATCACTCCCAGGGACGCAACACGGGTATGGACGCAGCTTCCCTCTGGCAGCTGGACCTGCTGCCACGTGTGTGCACTGGGTTATGTATCCACCTCGGTCTCGACGGGCTGAGCCCTGCAACTCGGGGCTGGACTCAGGAGATGGGTCCACAATTACGCAATCCTTCCCAGCCGAAACATGATAAATGAGGCCTTAGGGACGCACTGCCTATCCCAACATTCAGCCTAGAACAGAGAGCAAGCGGAGGTGCCCAAGGCTTTGCCCCTGGATGTGACGATGCACAAGCACCATCGGGTGGATGGCACACTGGTCAGACATCCTTAGGAAAGGCTGGATCAATGACATGGACCCTCTATACAATGGTTTTTTTGAAACTCAAATGACTATGCTATTTTTGAACAAGTAAAACTACTCTATAACTAGTAACTTTATAACAAGTCTTTTCTTTGCTGAACACAATTATAGGTTAATTGCAAATAAAAGCTTCACGTCAAATAGCTAAAACAACAAGACAAAACCATTTCATAGCTCCAACAGTGAAGCTAGGTGCCCAAGGGCCTTCATACCTCCTCTTCCCTCAGGAGCTCGGAGGCTCCAGGACATGCTGCAGAGTGAGAAAAGCCAGGTGGGGAGCCTGCACAGTAAGCTGCCGTTTAAGTAAGGGGGTGACCGGGGAAGAGCTGCACTTCTCTAAATATACCTTGTCTTGGAGATTTGACCTAGAAACTATTAAACAGCACTGAATTTTAAAGGAGTAGACCTTAACATCAAAGGCAAAAAAACCAAACATGACTAGAAATCAATGTGGATATGTAACTACAGAGACAGAAATCAACTATAAAATTTAACAGTTTATCTTTATAGGGCATATTCACAAACAAACAAACATTAAAATATTTTCAGTATCCTACTATTAAACACTATAACAGCATTATGTTTCTTTTGATGTCATTACTATATATTAAAGGCAATAACACATCATTATGTTAAGAAGAAAAAGAAACTTATCCTGGGAGAAAAGATGCCCAGATTCTCTAAAACCAAAGAAGTAAAAAAGAAACAAGTACTCTGTACCGCTGTCCGTTCAATGGGTCTAGAAGCGAAGGCTGACCAGTTACAAGGAGCACTCCTAGCAACCAGACACTTATGCCACCAAAGGGACAGGGACTCCTAGCCGGGAGCAGGAAATGCACAAGCTGAACCAGACGCCCACCCCAGGAAAGCTCTCATGACCACAGGCCATGTCCAGCACTGGGGTGCCAGCCAGAAGCAGCCCCAGTGGCTCACAGGGACAATCCAGCAGCAGCAAGGACAGCAACTGTAACAGACGGCAAACACTAAGAAGTTTTAAATCCATGACTCTTTAAAATTTTTTCCAAACCACTGCTCACCTGTGGATGTACCAAGGTAAGTGTTTCTGTCCCACCTCCTCCTCCTCCTTCTCCTCCCAAAAGACCTAACCCTGTACCTGTATCTAAATGAGGAAATAGAGAAAGAGAAGAAAAAAAAAGTAAAAGCGCCACAGGATGTAGTCGGCAATACCTACAGAACAACCTAGGTTTGCGTGTGTTTTTTTAAACTAATGAATAAGCAAACTGAGAGAAAAATTTTTAAAAAAAGAATTTTAGAATGAAAGAAATATTAACCAACTGAGGTATATAGGTTTTACTTGATTCCTGGCTCAAGTAAAAGAACTATCTCCAGCAATGAAGAAATCTGAACAACGAACAGGTGTCTGGTGACATGAGGAACTACTGCTGATTCTTGTGTATGTGAAAATGATACTGTGGTTTTGGTTTTGAGGAATCCATACCTTACAGAAAAATATAATGACATCTTTACAGACGAAATATGGAGGAATTGGGGGTTTGCTTCAAAATAGTAGAGGTCAGGAAAGGGAGCCATACACATGGGGTAGAGATGAAATATGAGCTGTTGATGCTGGAAGCCGGGTGATGTGTGCACGGGGTGCTCGGTGTCCCCCTCTCTGCACACAGTGAGATGTGCCAGAGTTTCAGGACGAGGAAAGCAGTGCTGTGTGCGAGCCACGCCGTCTGTGAGCAGAACACTCCCGCTCCAGCCCACGCTGATTCCCGCAGCCATGTGACACACACGTGAGCCGGCCACGGCACACTCACTCGGCTTCAGCAAGGCCTCACACATCTATAAAAGTACAATTAAACCAAACCCTTTGCAACAAACAAACGGAGAAGCAACCCGAACCGCGCACCTGAATCGGGCCGCCCGTCTGAGCTCCGGAACTCCTGCATGCGCCTCTCCAGCTTCTGCTGCCTCCGCCGCTTCATGACCACCTCAGGGTTGGAAATCGTGCGGGTGAAGCTGGTCTCAGGCATGTCCTTGTAGACCTCTGCAGCCAGGCGAGAGTTCTCACTGCCAGAAAACAGAGACCCCAGCCCACCTCTGAAATTCTGTGTGAGGAAGTCGCCCCGTGTTCGCAGCCTGCCAGACTGGCGTGCACTGCTCACCACACAGTCCCAAGTACTGTGGCTAAAGAGCACGGTGTCTCAGTACAAACTAACACACTGAGCTAAGCAGAAACCTACAACTAAAATCTTAGAGTGAGTTCGACAACTTAATTATTGTGCACTAACAAAACTCCAAAAAAAATGTGTCACGCGTTCAGCAGTCTCCGCCTGTCGTCATCCTAAACAGACCAAATGAGTGAGCGACACAGTGCCCCGACCACAGGAAGGGAGACTGACCACACTCTCGGTCTTTGATGACGGAAAGGGTTGCCGACATCCACTTTCCCGAAGCTGAACTTTCTACAGGAAGTTGCTACGAGGTCCGACGACGGGCAGTCGCTGCACAGGACGCGCTGAGAACTAGACATCAAGGCAACGCTAATACACTTCACTAAAGCTTGATAACTACATCCAGGATGACATCCTCAGTCATGAAGATAGTTTAATTAAAACCAGCCAAGCTTGGATTCAAGCAAGTCGGGTGACTTAAGTCATTTTCAGTAGCTATTCTCTTCACACAAATCATGTATCAGCTCATATAAGCTAAACTGATGAACAAACCATCGCCTGGGTTTTAAACTGTTTTCTTTGGTACTGTCCACACAGGAGCGACATAGTTACACGTTCTTCCTCTTGTATAACTACACTAAACAGCCTAACTCTGCAACATTATACCCGAGAGTTCCTGGGCCTTATCGGCGTCTGCCTAACAGACGGACGTCTAAATCCACTGTGGCACCGTGTGAAATGGGCTCAAATTGCACTCCAAAGTAAATACCACCCCTGACAAGTGGTTACTATCCTCAATACACACAGAACACTCAGAATCAGTAACACTTTTTAAAAAGACCTGAAGAAGTCATGGCAAGGGAAGAATGAATATAAGTAGTCAGTGAAGATGTAGAAAGCTATCCACCTTGTTAACGTGGGTTGTTTCCTGAAGACGCTGTAGAGGGCGCTGTTCTGTGACACCCATAGTTCTAGGACATGAGGAAATGAGAGACTGGGAGAGTGGGGGCAGATTTGGCCAGATAAGCACCCCTAAGGAAATGATGAGATGAGTCACCAAAGTTCTGGAAGAAGGTTAGTCACTAAAGTATTGTTAATGATACTAAAAAAACTGTGAACACCTACAAGTACACAAAAGAGGCTGGTTTCATAAATTTTGTAAAAATTCTGAGGGAATACTGTACAATCACTTAAGTTACTTAATATATATTTTTGTGGATATATATGTAGAGATTTGTGAATGCACTTTGATGTAAAATATAAATGACGTACATTAGCAGGAAAATGTCTCGTGGGATGTTCCAGTTTTAAAAAACTGTGACAACCCGGCCGGTGTGGCTCCGTGGTTGAGCGTCAGTTGACCCTGCACCAAGAGGTCACTGGTTCGATTCCAGGTCAGGCACATGCCCAGGTTGTGGGCCAAATCCCCAGTGGGGGACATGTAGGAGGCGGCCAATCCATGTTCTCTCTCATCAATGTTTCTCTCTCTCCCTCTCCCTTCCTCTCTAAAAAAATCAATAAAGAAAAAAATAAAAAACTGCAACTATATCCCTAAAACTCTCCACATGGACACAAGAGTCTGCATCCGGCCAGTGTGGCAGGAACACACGGGTCTCCTGGCTCAGGCGGTGACAGGTGCTCCTCTCCCCTTCTGGCAGGTCTCCATCCTCCGACTTTCAGAGCAAACGCCTCTGACCTCGGCCACCGAAACGCAGTACAGACTCCCGCACAGTCAGTGCCACGGCGAGCCCGAGCCCGAGCCCGAGCCCGAGCGGGATGGAATGAGCCAACTGAACTGTGCTGATGAGGCTGCACTCAGACCTGGAGACCCCACAGAGGGGTCAGTGCCTTCCAATGTCTCTTTCTGCCACAGTGAAAACACAACGGTTCCCTATTCCCTCGGCTCTGGGGCCAGAAGCCCCGAGTCCTGCGCAGGCAAGGACATCGGGACGGGCTGGCGTGGCAGAGTAAGGGATGGGAGGTGTGCGTTCGATAAAGGGAAAAGGTGCTCTTCTCGCTGCTCGTGACCACCTCCGGCCACGTGGCAAGCGTATCTGAGGTGCGCAAGAAACTGCCACTGCCTCAAGCAGCGCCAAGCAGAAATGAAAAGGAAGGCCAGGGGAAGACGAAGAGAAGAACGTGGGCCTCCAGGGCCCACTCAGAAAACACAGCACTGTTAACCACTCCGCTTGCCTGGGTTAGCGAGCACAGCGAGACGACATGCGCTGTCAGAGCCGATCTCCACAGAGCCAGAACTGGCCCACACCAGCCTCGTGACCGAGCGACTGCCTTCGAACATCTGGCTCAGCACACAAGAAACATGAGTATTGCCAACATGAACTTACACGTCATCCCCTTGGAAAGGTCTGTCGTCTTTGTCCGGTGCCTGTCTCATTGCCTCTTTTTCTCTCTTTTTCTTCTCCTTCTTTTCTTTCTTCGAGAGAGTTCTCTTGAAGTTCTGGATAACCCCTTCTCTCTCCTGCTTTTCAGGTCCATTGCTTTGAGCCTTCTGATAAAAGGAACACAGTCACACGCTGTCACTACGCAGAATCACATCAAGCTCATCTGCAGCGAGCCGGCCCGTCTCAGGCTGCAGCCCAGCGGAGCTCCCGCCAGGAGGGGGGCGGTGGTGCTCTGTCTTGGCTGGGCTGACAGTCACAAGAGTGCAGTCATCCAGTCTTAATGAATTACACACTCACTGTCTGCATTCCACTGTGTGTGAATTTTACCTCAATCCAAAACTGTACACAAGCAAGCAGGCAAACAAAACCCAAACCTAGTGAGAAAACTAGGGTGAGAATCATATAATCTGATTTTCAATAAATAAAAATCCAAATAATTTACATAAAGTAATTTTTTAAAATATATTTTAATTGATTTTTTTTGGAGAGAGAGGGAGAGAGAGACAGAAACATTGATCTGAGAGAGAAACATTGCTCGGCTGCCTCCTGCACGCCCCCTACTGGGGATCGAGCCTGCAACCCGGGCATGTGCCCTGGCTGGGAATCGAACTGGGACCTCTCAGTCCATGGGACACGCTCCATCCACTGAGCCACACTGCCTGGGCTACATAAAGTAATTTGCATAAAAGAAACCTAATGAAAATATGGAAGTAACTAAGCATTTAAATCATTATCTACTTTATAGATTTTTTAACTTCAAAAGAAATGTTAAAAGTAGCTGTAATAAATTGGCTTTTAATAAAGGAAAGCACAGCTTGTACAGAAACGTCTAATTTCTTTTTCAGATCTTGTTTGTTTGCTTGTTTGTTCTTAATTTATATATAACATGGCCTACCAGCAGATGACAGAAACAATTATTTTAAATATAATTTAATTGGTTGGCTGGTAGATCATCAAAAAAAATGAAAAGCAATGGTCACGACACTGGGGAGAAACCCGGCTCTGCTGCTGGACCTGCCGCCCCCACCGCCAGCTGCTGCGGCGCCGTCCTGACCGCACCAGGACACTGTGGCCACAGAACGGCACGCCGGCTGACCGAGGTGCAGAGATGAAATAAGACATGGGTGGGGAGACACACGCAGTCTCCAGTCCTACTTCTGGTAACACTCCCAACAGTCGCTGGAGCAGCTAACAGGTGAGGCCTGCGGCGCTGGCAGCCCGCACGGGGAACTCCTGTGGCCACACGCGGTGACAGCAGTCCCCCAACCTGCTGGGAGACACTGAGCAGATCTCCTCCTCGGCACTTGCTGCCACCCGCCAATGCTGACCCCCACGTGAGGTGACCCTGCCAGCAGAGAGCCGCAGTGTCCGCAGCCCCCACCCCAGAGGAGGCCGTGCGGGAGCAGCAGCCCAGGAGCCCTGCGCAGCCTGCCTACCGCCCGAGCGCACTTCAGAGCCACTGCTACATCTGTCACGTCTGGCACTGGCCACAGAAACCCAGGAAGTTCACTCAGTCCTGCCCTGACCACAGAATAGAAAAAGGGTTGCATCTGAAAGTTCACACATAAACAGGTTATCAAAGTTACTTTCCCTTCTGATCATGAAGACATTAGGACTTTATAATGGGGGAGAAACTGGAGCTATCACTTGAGCATGAACCTCTCAGCATCTGAAGTCTGCACAGCGTTTCTTTGGGAAAGTTACAAGCAGTGTTTGGGATTATTCTGTGAATCAGAGGATGAAACAGGGAGAAGCTGGGCTACTTTTAAACTGTTTCCTGGAAAAGGGGTAGAAGAGCACTTTAGGAAGAGAAGCCACAAAGAGGAGGAGCCCTGTAACCGGACCACAGTTGCCTGTGGACCTCGAGGGCTCCAGCCCAGAACGGCAGGCCCTACCTTAGCAGGGATGGCGTCGTTCTCATTCTTCAGAACAAATCTGCCCTCACGGTCGTCTTTGTTCCAATTCAGCTGCACAACTAGGGGCTTCTCGTCTATATCCAATCTTCTTTCTTCTTCAAAACATGAAAAGGACAAAAGTATGCTATGGTTATTCAGTGGCTCTCGTTACTACAACATCCCGATATGCATTTCACTGATAGACATAAAATACCTTGCCACCTCAAGTACTTGCTCAGACTTAAATATGTTAAAAATGTTAAGTGAGAGTTTTAAAAACTGATTCAGCATTTTGTTGCCACTGTATGTACACTTCCTGTATCTCGTGCTGACACGGACCAGGGACAACTTCCTCAGAGCATTAATATAACCGGGAAAACGAGACATACATGCGAACAGGGAGAAAAACACAGTCTACATACAGCACCTTGGCAGAAGCCTGTTTCTGTAAATAAAATGATCTCACGTGCAACAGAAAATAAGGGAATAATGCTCACACATCTCAGAAGCCCCAAGGCGCCATGAGACCCTCCCTCTCGTGCTATGTTGTGTGCTGTCCGCACCATGAGACCCTCCCTCTCGTGCTATGTTGCGTGCTGTCCACACCATGAGACCCTCCCTCTCGCGCTGTGACGTGCTGTCTGCACCATGAGACCCTCCCTCTCGTGCTATGTTGCGTGCTGTCCGCACCATGAGACCCTCCCTGTCGCGCTATGTGATGTGCTGTCCGCACCATGAGACCCTCCCTCTCGCGCTGTGACGTGCTGTCCGCACCATGAGACCCTCCCTGTCGCGCTATGTGATGTGCTGTCCGCACCATGAGACCCTCCCTCTCGCGCTGTGACGTGCTGTCCGCACCATGGGACCCTCCCTCTCATGCTATGTGACGTGCTGTCCGCACCATGAGACCCTCCCTCTCGCGCTGTGATGTGCTGTCTGCACCATGAGACCCTCCCTCTCGCGCTGTGACGTGCTGTCCGCACCATGAGACCCTCCCTCTTGTGCTATGTGACGTGCTGTCCGCACCATGAGACCCTCCCTCTTGTGCTATGTGACGTGCTGTCCGCACCATGGGACCCTCCCTCTCGTGCTATGTGATGTGCTGTCCGCACCATGAGACCCTCCCTCTCGCGCTGTGACGTGCTGTCCGCACCATGAGACCCTCCCTCTCGTGCTATGTGACGTGCTGTCCGCACCATGAGACTCTCCCTCTCGTGCTATGTGACGTGCTGTCCGCACCATGAGACCCTCCCTCTCGTGCTATGTGACGTGCTGTCCGCACCATGAGACCCTCCCTCTCGTGCTATGTGACGTGCTGTCCGCACCATGAGACCCTCCCTCTCGTGCTATGTGACGTGCTGTCCGCACCATGAGACCCTCCCTCTCGTGCTATGTGACGTGCTGTCCGCACCATGAGACCCTCCCTCTCGTGCTATGTGACGTGCTGTCCGCACCATGAGACCCTCCCTCTCGTGCTATGTGACGTGCTGTCCGCACCATGAGACCCTCCCTCTCGTGCTATGTGACGTGCTGTCCGCACCATGAGACCCTCCCTCTCGCGCTATGTGATGTGCTGTCCAGAAGTGGCGACGGCCCAGGTGGCACCTCTAGTATTAACAGTGAGTGCTCTTCTAACTGCACACCTGACCCTGTCTCCAAACTCACCGCCCTCAACCTTCACATCTGCTTCAACCACCAAGCTACACCCCTTTTCTCTGTTACGATCAACTGCTCAGTCTCCTGCACTCCTTCCTCCCTCATTAGAAACCTAACAAGCCTCCGGGCACACTGATCACTGATCGGGGCAACGATGCCCAGAGGGGCCTGGAGACTTCTACACAGCCTGACCAGCCATGAGAAGCCCACAATGGCAAAGACCAGCGGTGACTACGCGTGGGCTGTGCTACGTGAGGACGGAAAAGACAGGAGGCAGAATTTCCATGGCAGAGGACGCAAGACTTAACGGGACATTTAAAAGACAGACCGAGCCCTGGCCGGTTTGGCTCAGCGGTTAGAGCGTTGGTCTGCGGTCTGGAGAGACCCGGGTTCGGTTCCCGCTAAGGGCACGTACCTTGGTTGCAGTTTGTCCCTGGCCCTGGTTGGGTCGTGTGGGTGGCGACCACTCGATGTGTCCCTTTCACGTCGATGTTTTTCTCTCTCTCTCTCTCTCCCTCCCACGCTATCTGAACAAAATATCGAAAAAATGTCCTCGGGTGAGGATAAAAAAAAAAAGACAGACCGATACAGGCATTTGGTAAATAACATATGCAAACAGTCATGTTAATTATCAGCCTACAAGCATAACAATTTCTAAGTTATTCTATCAACTGAAAGCATAAGAAATGAAAATCAGAGAAATAGATCAATAAATCAAAAAGTTTGAAATTCCTGCTACAAACCAAAATTACCAAGATGTTCTCGTTATGAAATGTGTATGATAAAAACCCTCACACTGCATTTTTAGACACACACATGCCCTGCCACCACGTGCCATGCATCAGGGTCCCACACACCTGTGCACATGGCCGCATCTCCTGCCTTAGTGGTTTTCATACTTTTAAAAAAATCGCAGTCCTTCACAAAGGCACCCTAAAGGGTCACAGTGGAGTCTCCGGGGCCCAGGCACAGGCGGGTGCCAGGAGCTCAGCCCCCTGGAGCTCAGCCCCCTGGAGCTCACTGAGGAGCAGCTCTAGTCCCAAGGGAAAGCCCCGTCTGCCAGGCGCCCCCCCTGTGCGGGTGCCCTGGGTGTCGGTGGGCTTCCCGAGGTGCCGCACAGCAATGGGCATGGCCCGGGCCCAGGAGCAAGGCAGGACCCATGGACACATGCGCCCCCAAGGGGGTCACTGTGGTTCACAATGGAATGAGTTCAGTTTTCCCTCCATTTCATGCACGTTATTTTTCCAAACAGCCACAAAGTTGCTGGAGCATAAATACTAATTTGTCCAAATCTAGCTCCTCAACAAAATGAGGTGTTAGGGCCCTGGCTGGCTTGACTCAGCTGATAGAGCCTGAAGGGTTGTAGGTTCGATTACTGGTCAAGGGCCCATACCTAGGTTACAGGTTTGATCCTCAGCCCTGGTCAGGGTGATGCAGGAGGTAATCAGTGATGTGTCTCTTTCATATCAATGTTTCTCTCTCTCTCTTCCACTCTATGTAAAAATCAATGGAAAACATCTTCGAATGAGGATTGACCAAAAAAATATGAATACCTTTGGCCTAGGGGTGCTATTAAAAACTCCCAGACCCGGTCCTGGCCGATTTGGCTCAGAGGTTAGAGCATTGGCCTGCAGACCAAAGAATTGTGGGTTTGATTCCAGCCAAGGGCACGTACCTCAGTTGCGGTTCATCCCCGGCCCTGGTCATTAGGGTCGTGTGGGAGGCAACCAATTGATGTGTCCCTTTCACTTCGATGTCCCTCCGCCACTCTATCTGAAGATATTGGAGTAAATATCCTCAGGCGAGGATTCAAAAAACCTCCCTGATCGCTAAGGGCTCCTGGTCGAAGAGTCACCCACACGTGTGCCCTCACGTCTGAGCACAGGTGAGACCCTCAGCTGTGAGCGCCGAGGTGTGGCAAGACAGGGCCAGGCTGTCCTAGCCGCTCACTGGGGACAGACCATTTCCTTTCTCTTTATTAACCTCTAGGGTTTTCACCTCCATGCAAGTAGCATATGTTACCTTTTTATTAAAAGCAAATGCAATAAAGAAAATCTAAAGAAAAACAGTTAATTTTAAAAAATCAAAATCATTCTGCTTTTAGATTTCAAACCCCAATTTTGCATCACTTTTGCAAAGACTTCACTGGGTGTCTTCAAATGACAGCCCGTCCAATAGGACAGGCTGGCAGGGAGGCTGCCTTCCGCCCAGCCTCGGACACCGACCGCACGGAGGCTCCCCTGGCCTGCCAAGTGCAGTGCTGGTGTTTTTATGCAGGTGATACCACATGATCGCAGGAAAGTAATGAACAATTAGGTCCTAAATTGCATGCTACTGGGGAAAAGTGCTTGGTCATACTTGCATTCCACAATTACAAAAAAAGTTTGCCCAATTTCAAATTTACAAAGAAAGCTATACTTTTGAAGTAAAAAAATATATATGTATGTGTATATATTCAGAAGGATTTGTGGATAGAATTTAGCAAGTATTCAAATTAGGTTTGTGTTACATGTAATCCTTTCTTTGCTGCATTCATTAGTTTTTTTTTACAGGTGATTAAACACAAATTCTTAAGTCTCATAAATTTGTAAGTGTCTAATCAGTCACTGGGTAGATGTACAGAACATTCTCAGATACTTCGGATATCTAAACAGGAGAAATCACTACGCGAGAGCTTCCTCAAGACGCCGTCTCCCCAAACAGCGATGGAAATATGCTGTCCACGTCACAGGACATGACAGGGAGGCCGATGACTCAGCGCACACTGAACTGGTTATAATTAGCTGTGTTATCATATTCTACACACACGAGCCACAGAAACTGTTTCTCCGAAAGCAATGGCGCTGGTCTTCAGTATCTGCAGCCCCAGAGGTGAGGGGTGACCTTACTTGGGCAAGGCCATGTACCTTCCCTTTGGGGAAACAGCACACGGACAAGTGCTCTCATCCCACCTCCAATAGCACATGGGCAGGGCAGAGGCCCGGCCCAGACACGCAGAGGCTCCGCCGCCCTCCCTGCCCTCGGCCTCCCGGAGAAGCGGGCCCACGGGCAGGAAGCCGAGCTCACCGACCTCCACTGACGTGCACCTCGTACAGCGAGTACTTGGGAGCAGACAGCATGCGCATGTCGGGCCGGAACTTCTCGGCCAGTGTCTCGATGACGTCCTGAGTGGTGGCAGTGCTCGACACCCGGATACACTTTGTTGCAAAGTTTCCAGCAGCTTTATCTTGAAAATAAAACCTCATCACTCCATGGAACTCCAAATCCTAAAAGAAAACAAAATGATACGTTTTTGGAAAAACAACATTATGAAAAGTTCCGTTTTCTGTAACACCAATAAATGAAAAAGGCAATTCACCATTTTTTTAAATCCTTATCAGAGGACATGTTTTCTTGATTTTAGAGAGAGAGATAAACATCGGTTGGTTTCCTCTCATAAGCGCCCCGATGGGGGATCAAACCTTCGACCTGGGAATGTGCCCTGACTGGGAACCGAACCCGCCACCTCTGGTGTACAAGACGATGCCCCAACCAACTGAGCCACCTGGCCAGGGCAATGCACCACTTATTAAAAATGTTTCATTATCTGAAACATCTGAGACAGAAACTAAGAGACATGGGATTTTCGTCTTCAAACTGAGTCCTGTGACATGGGACAAGTTCTGTGGGTCCCTCGACCTCCCTCGTCTCGGGGAAGGTGGCGGCAGCGCAGCTGGCATTGGTGACAGCCAACCTTACTGACTGCTCAGCAAGTGCCAGGTTCGCTGCAGGTGCACTGTCTCAGCACATCCTCACAACAGCCCAGCTGAGCAGGCTCTACCGTGAACCCTGCTTCCAAGATGTGTCATTAAAACTCAGTCTCAGCGTCCTGCTCAAGCAGGTCTGTGCCAAGCCCAGCTGTAAGCCCCAGACCCGTGAACTCAGCCCAGCTGTCTGCCCTGAGCTCCATCCAGCTGACATGTCCAGCTGACAGCGAGGGGGAATGTCAGCCTCATTCCTGCCATGTGTGTGAATAAATGGAAACTCAACTTTTGCAGAATATAACTGTAACTAATTTTCAATATAAATGATTTGCTCCAAAATCACCAAACGCAATCTAGACTATTCTCAATACCTTACTTCTAGAGAAAGTAACAATGGAACTCCAGTCAAAAGGATATACTCTAAGGCAGGCTACAGCCCATGTATTATGCAATGTTCTTCCCATTGTGATTGTTTTCCTTTTTAATCAATTAAAATGCAGTTTATTTAGGTGGAGCTCGTGAGTTTCAGGTTCTTTGCTATATGACCAAGGACCCTAAGAGCCTGTATCCCACGGGCTGGGCATCTGTTCTCGTTTGCTGGGTCACCCCTCATCTGGGGATGAGAGGGAAGGGCCCCGAGTTCTAGCAGGGCCATTTCTAACTCCTGAGCCACTCTAGCACGGGCACAGACTCGCTGCTCTCCTCCCCCATCACACCAGTCCACCACGAGGTCCCTTCCACGCAGCCAGCCCCCCACTCTCCCTGCCTCTAGCACGGGCACAGACTCGCTGCTCTCCTCCCCCATCACACCAGTCCACCACGAGGTCCCTTCCACGCAGCCAGCCCCCCACTCTCCCTGCCTCTAGCACGGGCACAGACTCGCTGCTCTCCTCCCCCATCACACCGGTCCACCACGAGGTCCCTTCCACGCAGCCAGCCCCCCACTCTCCCTGCCTCTAGCATGGGCACAGACTCGCTGCTCTCCTCCCCCACCCCTTCCACGCAGCCAGCCCCCCACTCTCCCTGCCTCTAGCATGGGCACAGACTCGCTGCTCTCCTCCCCCACCCCTTCCACGCAGCCAGCCCCCCACTCTCCCTGCCTCTAGCACGGGCACAGACTCGCTGCTCTCCTCCCCCATCACACCGGTCCACCACGAGGTCCCTTCCACGCAGCCAGCCCCCCACTCTCCCTGCCTCTAGCATGGGCACAGACTCGCTGCTCTCCTCCCCCATCCCTTCCACGCAGCCAGCCCCCCACTCTCCCCAGCACAGCCGCCCCTCCTCACTCTCTCCTGTGGCCCCTGCTCTCGGATGTCAGTCCACCCACAGGGCCCCAAGCCTATCAGTTAAGCTTTTCTCTGCTTCCCCCATCCACTAGCTTGTTCTCTGCTGATAATTATGACCTAACAAGTGTTTGTTTGAAGAAAAATATGAAAAATGGGATATAAGAACGGGGCTAACTACATACACAACATGGACATCACATGAGAAATGAGACAGAGGCACACTGCAGTCCGGAGCTTGTTCTGCTTGCCTAGTCCCTGTCCGACCATTAGGCAGGTAACCCTCCCGTTTCCCACAGGCCCAGGAAAAACACAAGGAAAGTGAGCATGTGTGTTAGAAAAATGCCATGAATCCCAGACTCTGGGTTGAAACAGGGCCCTGGTCACAGGGTGAGATCAGAGAAAGCTTAATGAGTCAGCAAAACGGAAACTCCATTAGCAGGAGTCCTTCTCTGGTCTCTCCCAGTAATATACCTGCCTCTGTGCAGCCTGGGTCAGCTGCAAGGAAAGTGAAGCTGATCCCTGTTCAGTGTTCCTACCTGAGTCCCCTGGCAGCCTAAACCCTGCACGCAGCAGCACCGCAAGAGGCTCCTCCACTGCGAGGTGTGCGAGCCCCAGCTAGCAGCAGGGACAGCCGTGCGCTGTGCCAGGCCCTGCGGAGCCCGCTCTGGCACCGCTGCCCAGCGCTTCTCCACCCCATGCTCCCCGCCACTGCCCACCTCCTGCAGCCGGTCAAGTCCTCATTTCTGCTTTACTCACCACTCACTGCCTCCTCCAGAGGCCCCTGAAATAGCACTTTCAAAAACAAAAATTACTCACAAATTTACTCATGTACATTTACGTTTTATTGTGGGAGTCATATTTGTATCCCAAGACTCTGAGACTCTCACCACTACCACCCTGAAATCATCTTTTTATTACACGTAACAGTCTCAAATGTTAATTGGGAAAACTACCCTGGCTCCTCCCAAGGCTCAGCCTTATAGAGTAAGTTAAACCAAACGGCAAATTAGCCTCCAGGGAACTCAATCGTTTTGCCAAAAGACTAGTTTTACATCATTTGTGTTGAGAATGAAATAGCTATATATATCGACATGTCCCCAAAGACACGAAAGCACCAGTTTCTCTGAGAATTATCAAAAGACAATTCCAAACTACCCAATCTGAAAGCAATAGACACGTCGTGTGTCTGGGAGGCAATGGCAGGATCGGCGAGAACCCCAACGTGATAAGGCATCGACAGAGGCAGGCAGGGCAGCGGAGGCCACGTCCTCAACCACCCTCGGAGTTCCCAGGTGCGGACACTGCCCTCAGGGGGCCCCCCGGGTACAAACACTGCCCTCAGGGGGCCCCCCGGGTACGAACACTGCCCTCAGGGGGCCCCCGGGTACGAACACTGCCCTCAGGGGGCCCCCGGGTACGAACACTGCCCTCAGGGGGCCCCGGGTACAAACACTGCCCTCAGGGGGCCCCCGGGTACAAACACTGCCCTCAGGGGGCCCCCCGGGTACAAACACTGCCCTCAGGGGGCCCCCCGGGTACGAACACTGCCCTCAGGGGGCCCCCCGGGTACGAACACTGCCCTCAGGGGGGCCCCGGGTGCGGACACTGCCCTCAGGGGGCCCCCGGGTGCGGACACTCCCCGGACACTGCCCTCAGGGGGCCCCCAGGTGTGGACACTGCCCTCAGGGGGCCCCCGGGTGTGGACACTGCCCTCAAAGGGCCCCCGGGTACGGACACTGCCCTCAGGGGGGCCCCCAGGTGTGGACACTGCCCTCAGGGGGCCCCCGGGTGTGGACACTGCCCCCAGGGGGCCCCCGGGTGTGGACACTGCCCTCAGGGGGCCCCCGGGTACGGACACTGCCCTCAAAGGGCCCCCGGGTACGAACACTGCCCTCAGGGGGGCCCCGGGTACAAACACTGCCCTCAGGGGGGCCCCGGGTACAAACACTGCCCTCAGGGGGGCCCCGGGTGCGGACACTGCCCTCAGGGGGCCCCCGGGTGCGGACACTCCCCGGACACTGCCCTCAGGGGGCCCCCGGGTGCGGACACTCCCCGGACACTGCCCTCAGGGGGCCCCCGGGTGTGGACACTGCCCCCAGGGGGCCCCCGGGTGTGGACACTGCCCTCAGGGGGCCCCCGGGTGTGGACACTGCCCTCAAAGGGCCCCCGGGTACGGACACTGCCCTCAGGGGGGCCCCCAGGTGTGGACACTGCCCCCAGGGGGCCCCCGGGTGTGGACACTGCCCTCAGGGGCCCCCGGGTGTGGACACTGCCCCCAGGGGGCCCCCGGGTGTGGACACTGCCCTCAAAGGGCCCCCGGGTACGGACACTGCCCTCAGGGGGGCCCCCAGGTGTGGACACTGCCCCCAGGGGGCCCCTGGGTGTGGACACTGCCCCCAGGGGGCCCCCGGGTGTGGACACTGCCCTCAGGGAGCCCCCGGGTGTGGACACTGCCCTCAGGGAGCCCCGGGTGTGGACACTGCCCTCAGGGGGCCCCCGGGTGTGGACACTGCCCTCAGGGGGCCCCGGGTGCGGACACTGCCCTCAGGGAGCCCCCAGGTGTGGACACTGCCCTCAGGGGGCCCCGGGTGTGGACACTGCCCCCAGGGGGCCCCCGGGTGTGGACACTGCCCTCAGGGGGCCCCCCGGGTACGAACACTGCCCTCAGGGGGGCCCCCAGGTGTGGACACTGCCCTCAAAGGGCCCCCGGGTACGGACACTGCCCAGGGGGGCCCCCAGGTGTGGACACTGCCCCCAGGGGGCCCCCGGGTGTGGACACTGCCCCCAGGGGGCCCCCGGGTGTGGACACTGCCCTCAGGGAGCCCCGGGTGTGGACACTGCCCTCAGGGGGCCCCGGGTGTGGACACTGCCCTCAGGGGGCCCCCGGGTGTGGACACTGCCCTCAGGGGGCCCCGGGTGCGGACACTGCCCTCAGGGAGCCCCCAGGTGTGGACACTGCCCTCAGGGGGCCCCGGGTGTGGACACTGCCCCCAGGGGGCCCCCGGGTGTGGACACTGCCCTCAGGGGGCCCCCGGGTGTGGACACTGCCCTCAGGGGCCCCCGGGTGTGGACACTGCCCTCAGGGGGCCCCCGGGTGTGGACACTGCCCTCAGGGGGCCCCAGGTGTGGACACTCCCTTCACAGGTAAAAGGAGCCCGCGAACAGCGTCGCCACCGCTCACGGGCTTCAGCTCACATACAAGCTGAGACAAACTGAAAAAGAGTAACCCAAGGATAG